AACCACCTAGTGTGAGTCTAAGTGATCACCGTCTATTCTGGTTGAGGTCATGTTATACATTGGATAGTTCCCTTAAGATGTATACAGATATAGTACTCATCCGATTCATAATGATTAATTTATTTGATTCTCTGATTTGGGTCATAGTAGAGAGGACTTGCTCGTGGGGTTGACCAACCATTATTGTTATTTCAGGATACGGTCAGTACCCGTTCCAAGGTTGAGGTTAGCAGTGTGGGACCACCATCCGAACTCATCTACTCTTACGATCCAGTTCAGGGTAGAAGTTTTATGTATTACTTCAGTTTCAGTTTTTATTTACTTTTGACGTTGAACTCTCAGGGTTATATTTAGGGATCCTTGACATAGGATTTCCAAGTTGTAATGGAGTACTGTATTAAATAAAGGATGGATGGATGTTGTATTATTTAGTGTTCCTTTCCTGTCTAAATTCTTTTATTATCATCATTTCGTATTACATGCTTGTATATTGCCAATTGTTTTTGATATCCCTCGTTTTTCGTGTATAAGCCTGATCAAGTTATGCGTGGAAAATGTGGGGGTGTTACAACATGCTTTGAGGTATGAAGTCATGATGATTCTCATTCTCTTGTAATTAGAGAACATCATCTTCTCACTGAGAAAATACATTTTCCCCTCTTCATCATCATCAAGGAGAAACATGTTTTCCTTAAAATGTTGAACCTTCTAGGATCAACTTCGTCAGGCCTTCAGGATCGTCTAAGCTCTGAACATGAAACCTGACTCTGATAATGACCTGGCTCTGATACCACTTTGTTGGCTTTTGCTCTCAAATACCATTTTCTAGTTTTGCTTTGATACCACTTTGTTGGAAATAGTGGTATAGAGACACACAACACTCAATAATATTTTGGAAGAGAATGACATGGAGGAATACTTAGAAAATTATTTTATTCCACTAATTCATCTTATTTTTCTACTCATTCAACTTTTCTCCCTACATAAAATAGGTATAGTACATGAGTTTATATAGGCTCTAAGACATATGTAACCAATTACATTTCAATGCCCAATTACTCCCACTAATCCCACTAACATAGTATTTAGTAGGCTTAACTCTCATGTCTTCCACTAACACAAATACAAACTCCCACTAACATAGTATTTAAGAGACTTAATTCCCATACATCTTAGTCTTAACCTTCTTCATCAAGACCATTTACTACCCCCACTAACATGAAATGCACACATGCATCATGTATACCAAATACTTGAAAATATAAATTACAACTAAAATTCTAAAATCAAGTTTATTTCAACAGTCTCTGAATAACACGGCTCTATCGAACCTCGCTAGACTCCAGATTCGGGCAGTGGTGAACTTGGGGTAGAGAAGGGGTGTATAATCAGCATCTGTATTACGGCGGTGGTGAAGATGGTGGCAGGCGGTGATGGTAGTTATGGCCGTCGTGGTGGTGGCGAAAAGGCTGTGGTTGTGGCTATGACTGCCGCGGTAGCCGGTGGTGAAGATGGTGGTTTTGTTGTGGCCGTGGTGGTGGCTATGGCCTTTATGGTAGCGGTGAAGATAGTGGCTCTACTCTTACCTTTATCGTCTGCAAATTTAGGGCTAAAACCTGTTCTACCAAGTGCCTCCAATGTCTACCTCCACATAGTCACCGCCGGCGACAGCTCTTATGCACGCACAGATCGTATGAAAGCTCTTCACTTCACTGTTATAGACTACTGATCACCAGCCCCACTCCATCTTCTTTATGCCCGATTTAGAGACTTGATTTTGGTAAAAGTATAGCAATTTTCAAAAAAAAAAAAAAAGAAAAGGAAAAAACACTTTTATGTTATATTTATAAAATATTATAAGGTATTGTAGTAATTTAACAGGGAAAATTACCGCAATAAAATGTCAGTCAGTTTGGAGGGATGTTAGTGTAATTTTTAAAATATCAGGGGTACTATGTGTAATTAAGTCTAACCTAAAGGAAGTTAAGGGATATTATCCCTTTAATAAACTACTGAAGATGATATATTTTAAAAGATAAATTGAGTGAAGCAGGGCGTGGACAGGATGGACTAGTTTTAAAAGAGACGGGAATAGGGTCCCACTTGACGAAATTGGGAATTTATTTAACAGGTACATTAAATATTAAGGTTCCGTTTGTATGGATGTAAAATTTTTTTTTTAGAAAATATTTATTTTTATTTTTTTTTTGTGTTTAGTTGTCATAAAATATTTACAAAAAAAATATATATTAAAATTTAACAAAAATAATTTACTTATCAAATTTTAAGAAATTATTTTACACACGTCACTCGATGTACTCGACCTCAACTTTAATTCTTTGTTAAAACGTCTAAAAATAAAAAATAAAAAATTATTTTACTTAAAAAATATATTTTTTAAAAAAATATTTTACGTTCAAACAAAGACTAAAAAAAAAAAATCGATCCAAGTTTCCCATCAAATTCAAATATTTTTGTCAGAGGATATGATTTATGTTACTTTGCCATTTCGATTTTCATTTGAGTTATTAACGATGTTTTCTACCCCCTACTCGTTTGTCCTTCTCATTTGGACTTTTCTTCTCTTTCAATTCTCGGGATAGAAAGAATTATACTACGTATTAACCGTGTTAAGATTTCGACTATTTTTAATTTGAGTAAGTATTGGATATCTGAGAGTACCCGAAAAAATAATACCCCAACCAATCACACAATGTTTATCAAAGCGTATTAAAGTTTTTTCCTTTTTATTGAATGGTCATCAGACGTGAATATTCAATCAACAATTGAAATGTAAAAGTACAGGGACAAATTGACAAAAAAGTACAACAGTCCAACATTACAATAGTTAGATGTTTTCATTATTGAAAAACATGTTTGTGTTTGATTGCATGCAGGCCAAGCAATGAACTCAAAAAGAAAAGAAAATAAGAAGAGAAACTAATTGGGGCCTATATCATTGGTTAATTTTTTAAAAGCAGTTTTCAAAAATATAAAATATTTTCTAAAATTTTTAAATAATAATTTTCTAAAAATAAATATTTCTTTTAACTCATTTTTCAAAAAATGTAACCAATTAATATAAGTTTCTCAAAAATGTCAATGAAACATACCCTTCATCTCTTATATTCTTTACACTTTTAACATTACAAAAAAACAAATTTAATAAAGTTCCAGAGGATCAGACAAATTGGAGGTCTATGATGGGAGATGAAACAAGAACATGGAAGGCGTTAAATCAGGGCCGACCCTAAGTTTTTGGGGCCGGGCCTACTTAACATAGTCTCATTCTCACGTAAAAATATAAAAATAAAAATAATTGTAATTAAATTAATGTCTTAAAATAAGTTTTATAACCAAAATTTAATCAGGAGCTTACACAATTCATTAGCCACTTGAACCACCATAATGAAAAAGTATTAAAAAATCATTCTCATCTAAATGTGTTGTCTTTTCTATTTTTTATTTGAAGAGTTGAAACTATTACAAGACTTTTTACCAAAAGAAAAAAAGATAATGCAGTATTAAACTCTGAAAATTTCTCTTCTTGTATTCTTAGATGCAAAATCTTCAATTAAACTTTTCTAGAAGTTTATTTTCAATTAAAATCAAAGTAGTAGTCTGTTTAATCTTTCTTGTGACATGATTGATCGCAAATAAGATTTTAATAACTTCAATTTTGAAAAACGTCTTTCTACATAAGCAACAGTAACATAAATAGTCAATAATATTCTATACGCAATGCATGCATTTGGAAAACAATTCATTCTTTTCAAAAAAATTAATATTGCACTTGCAGTCATTTTTTTTTTTTTTTGGGTAAAATGTTGTGTAAGAGTTTCAATTATGCAAATAAATCATTCCCATCAACATTAAAAAAAAAAAAAAATTGCCATTTTTCAGATTGCTTTCAATAACAAGTCTTCGAATCATCATCATTCCAATGAGTTTAACCTATCTGAAGTAGACAAAAAACCAAAGATATTCTCATATTGTTGATATTGATCAAACCTTCTCTTCAATGACCTAATAGTTTGATCTATTATATGTAAGAAATAGTGAATTCTAAAATAATATTTGTAAATGTAAATCAACGTGTGCTAAGTTTAATGTTTAACCCCTCTTTCTCCTTTAGGTTCTCTCCGTTTTTTTAAATTAAAGTAATATATCATATTCTCCTTCACTCAGGTTGGGCATAAGTTTATAAAAAAAAATAAAAAATAAGTTACGAGTGGGATAACTCGATTGAGCTATATGGACTGCATTAAAAAGAAGTCAGATTAAATTGTATTATTCTCTACTCAAATTGAGCTTAAGTTTTTTTAAAAAATAATAATAATAATAAAATAAAATAAATATTAAATTACAAGTGTACTGTATTTAAAACGAAACTGTATTTACATTGCCCTTCACCAACTTTTATTTATAGGCTCACAAAAAAGTTTGAGGGCCCTCCAAAATTGGGGCCCTCTGCGGTGGCACTACCTAAGGCCGGCCCCGGCGTTAATTACCAAATAAGAAGACAAATATTACATCAAGACAAGAAGCAAAAAAAAATTGAAGTCCCCCAAATTTGGTGTCATGTGCGGTGGGACCCAAGGGCCGGCTTTGGCGTTAATTACCAAATAACATGACAACTAACAAACAAAATTTGAAGTACAGAAATGGTGTAATCAAGATTCAAATTGCATTACTTTTCAAAAAAAAAAAAAAAAAGATTCAAATTGCATGTTAGTTGTTGCAACCAAAAAAAAAAAAAAAAAATTTGAAGCATAAAATTACGATTTTGGACGGAGATGGAAAAATACAATTGGACATAACGTGGTTCTGTCACACCCGCTAAACGATTTTGGACAGAGATGGAAAATGTCGTGTCTGTCCCCTGGAGCCTAACGTGGCTCCATCACAGGCGCTAAACGATGTTGGACAAAGATGAGACATACCAGAGCTGGGATGTTCCATGAACAGGAAATAGTTTCTATTTTGCAAGAAATGAGCAGTAAAAATAGGCGGTTGGTGAAATGATATATTGCAAGGAACTTGTGTGATGATATATCGTTAAGTAGATGTTGTTGCAGCTATATCACTCATACCAACTTATTGATACAGAAAACAGAAAATATGATGACAAAGCTCATTACACAACATTTTGAGCTCACATAATTAAGAAAAAGTAATTAAGTAAAAACCAAAATCTAGGAACCTTGGTTTAGCAGATAGTCTTCGAGGCATTTGATGAAAGTGAGAGTTGACTTGGTAGTCTGCAGTGGCATAGGATCAGTTTCTTCAGCTTCTGTCTCGTACACCATCTTGGCATCAACTATAGTCTCCGACTCTCCGCCCGCCGTCAGCTGGAAAATGGTTTTGTAGGAAGAAAATCCAAGATTCAGGTAACCTCCTTCTATTACTTCCAGTCCTATTTGATGCAGGGACTCGTCAAAGTCCACAATCTTTTCCTTCTGGTAACTCATGTGTGTTATACCTAAAATTTAATATTTCGAGTACATGAATCACATTAATATTGAAATAAAATTGAAACAGTGTCGAGGCATGACGGTCGGTTAGCTGAATTCACACATCATTGCGAGATTTAAAGAGGGTCAAATGTACACAGTCTTATTTTTTCGACGGCTTGTTTTCGATAGGATTATGAATGAAGTAAAATAATGAAAATTGGAAAGCGTGACTTACCGGAGCCAAAATTAAAGATAAAAACAGTACCAGGGCCACCATCTCCTTCGATCACTTCTATATCTGTCACGAAATTTGGAATAGCTTTTGGAACAACAGAAATTAAATCCTTGGACAAAGCATTCCAAAAAGCTTCAATCCCAACTCCAACCTTTGCTTGGATTGTTGCTTCCTTTCTCATGTCTCTCTCTCTAATGCAAATCCTTTCAAAAGATGAGTGATGTTTTTGGGGTTTCAGGGAAGGAAATTATGAGGGAATTTATAGGAAAAAGTGAAGGGACAACAGTACTTGATGATCAAAAGCATCTTTTTATTGAATGAGACAAAAAGGCTGGACAGACGTCCTTCTTCTTCTTCTTCTTCTTCTTCTTTTTTTTTTTTTTTTAAATGGTGAAAAAATGAAAAAATGAAAAAATACTGTTTATTGTGATGTCACTTTTAAACATATAGGTACCACTTTTTGTGTATACAGGCATCACTTTTTATCATTAGGTATCTTTTTTTTTTGTACCTGATACACAAAAAGTAGTACATATGTGAATAAAAGTGGTACATCTATTCCCAAAACAAAAGTGGTACCTCCATGCAGTGATACCTATGTGCGTATCTCAATAAGGATAAGGATAAATAGTGTTTTTTTAAGTTCACGTCAACATTTTGGTCAACTTCATTTTTTTCGAAATGATGAGACTTTGATTCCATTAAATATTAGTTATTAGGCTATTGGCACCATTTATTTGTAATAATCCCTTTTTCTTTTTTTTTTCATAGCTATTTTTCAAAGAAACAAGGAGAAATTTTCACTAGCTTGAATAAAATATTTTCTTGGCTTTGTATATTAGATACTAAGCTACTTTTAGTTGTAAATGATTGATAAAAGCTTTTCTTAGCAGTTTATATTTTCAAAGATGCATTTTGTTATATATATACGCGCGCGTGTGTGTGTGAAACAAGGAGATTTTCACTAGCTTGAATAAAATATTTTCTTGGCTTTGTATATTAGATACTAAGCTACTTTTAGTTGTAAATGATTGATAAAAGCTTTTCTTAGCAGTTTATAGTTTCAAAGATGCATTTTGTTATATATATATGTGTGTGTGTTGCTATTTGGTAAAAAATAATGGGCTTAAATCATAAAATCTTAAATACTATCATTTTTTATATCATAAAATCTCAAGTTGTTTGTAAAAAACCCTAACAGTATTGTTATCACTTTGTCACTATTCTGTTAATTTGGAATGTTTTCACATGCATTGGTAATAAGATTTTAATGACAAAACTACCCTTGTAAGAACACATGTCAACCATGTGCTATTAATTTTTAGGGTTAAAATCATAAAACCCCACTATTATAAAAATTTGATCATAAAACTCAGCTTGTTTCTGAAAAATCACACACTTTTAAAAAGTGATTACATTACCCTAATATCCGTATCTGTGATACCCCTCAATTCTAGAGCCACGGGTGATCAAGTCCGAGTACAGATCCGAGGGATACCAAACAATTAATATGTAAACAAGCAAGAATAAAACTGAATTAAGAATAAATTAATAATACGCTGAAAGAAAACTAAAATAAGAATCCTCAAACTTGAAATAATAAATTAATATAATTTAAAACCGTACAACTCGGGAATCCACCTAGTGGACCCCTAATCCCAAATCCTTGAATAAATTTACAGTATTAAAATCCAAAACCAAAATAGAAAGGAAATCCTATATAACCGGAAGAGTGAGTGTCTGTATCTGCATCAACACAATCAATCTCTAAGCCTGGTACTGGCGAATACCTGAAAAATAAGAATGGGTTAGGCCCACATGCAAGTTCCAATCTACTATAATCCGTACATAAACCCGATACGCAGATACATCCTAGATAGCTAGGCAATATCTACAATAGTCCATATATATATATACACACACACTATAGGATGCTCACTAGCCTATAACATAGTTCAACCTAGGTAGAAGGTGACATATAAAACACGTTTTTCAGTGGCCAAGTACCTAGACCTACCAGGGAACATTAGCTATATCCAGCTACTCAATCTTTGCAATATACGCACTCTAACCATGATCAGGAGACTCAAGCTCATACCACGGTACCATAAATATATATATAAATTCCTTCCTAATACTGAAAAGTAAAGCAACCATCCGTTATGTCGTTTAACTGGTTTAGTTGACAGGACATACATCCATTTAGGATTTAACTGTTTTAGTTAATCCATTCCTTATGTATGAATGGGTATGGATTAGTACTGTGACCTAATCCGTCCCTCCATATGCCACCGTCCCATACCGGTGCATATATGCAAATGATCCATAAATGATGCAACATTTTATCAGCACATCAAATAAATCCACATAATCCAAGTAGTTGATAACACAAAATTTAAACAGTTCATCAACTAATAATCCAGAATCCATCCATGTAATTAACAAGACAAAGTTTAATAGTTCATCAAGTTAAAATCCAGAATCCATTTATGTCATTGACAATTTAATTCATTTAACTGAAATTTCAACTAACCCATAGTACAGTCCAGCAGTTGACAACATTAACAATAGTAAAGTGTCAATTATAAATCAGAGAATGACAAACTATAACTCAGAAAATCCACAGTTCTAACCAATATTTGCTGGAATATGTAGAACAGTTCAATAATTAAAATAACAACCTCCATTTAATTAATGAAATCTAATTTATCAGTTCCTTAATTAAAATCCAACCTATGCACAGATAAGGTCTAATAGACACATGACCCTATTCTATACCCAACATAGTTTTCAAAACCATCCTCCAATCATCTAAGTTGCTAAATTAAATTTACGCAACTAGATACTTTATAATCACCAACAATGTGCGTCATTACTTAAAACTCCCACACTGTGAAAACCTTTTGCATATTAGAATAAATTATGCATTTTGAGTCCTAATATAGCATAATATCATGTTTAGACATCATGCAACAGTCTGTTAAAATTTTAAAACAAGACTTAGCGAATTAGTCCTTCCTATCCGTTAGCAGCGTACAAAGTCGCATATTTTTACCCTGTACCGTTGTATACTTCCCTGCAATTAATTCCATGAGTACTAAGATATTAATTTATTAGAAGTGGCTCTAATATAGCATGGTGTAATGTTTGGAACCCATGTTCCAACTCTTTTAATTGCTAGACACAGTTTGAGCAATTAAACCTTTACCGTCCGTTATGTCCGTAAACAGTCTGCGACTTGTCTTAGATTTTCCCACCGTTTAATACCTTAGCATATAAATAAATTAATGCATCCTAGGGCTCTAATATTTCATGAATTAATATATAACTTCATCTGCCTAGCCCAAACACAGCTCAGAAAAATCACTAACGAGCCAAACAACACACAAACCATTCCATTAAGTACATAGAATCACAAAGCCTGCTCTTAGAAACATAGAGCAGGCTCTAACCTGCATAGAGCCGACTCCCATAACCCTTGGAGCCGGCTCTAATAGAGGGGGAGCCGGCTCTTTGCTTCCTAGAGCCGGCTGTCTCTCTTTGAGAGCCTCCTCTGCTTCAACTGCTTCGTTCTGCTTCGTCCGATTGTCGTCTGTGATTCCGACAAAGTCCAGTGTCCTATTCCAGACCTCTTTAAGATTATTAGGGTTCCATTAAAGCTCTTAAACCCCTAGAGACTCCTCCTATTCCAGTGTGAACTAATTGACAAAAAACTTAAACTACACACAACAGCTTATGCAAGAATAAGTTTAAACTTTAAAAAAACACAGAACAGATTACCGAAATCGTCTAGCATGCATAAAGTTCATTTTTAAACGTTTAATTAAGTTCCTGGAGTCTATATAAGATGCACAGAACACAAGTTTACAAGAGAGGAATAAACTGAAACTTGCCTTTAGGTTTCGGTTTGAAACCTTTCAACACCGTTGCTAAATTCTCCAATGAACTGTAGACTACCTGCAACTCTCCTACGGTTCCAGTTCTATCTCACCCTCAACCTCTTCCTTCCTCTGGGGTACACCCTCAGTCCATAGTTGAAAGCTTAATTGATTCGCCTAGTTTTCCCTCTGTGTTTTCCATTCCAACCCTCTCTGTTTTTCCTCTTAATACACTTTTACGTGAAAAAGGATTTGTCCCAACCCTAGCAGACTTATAAGAACAAATATATATAGCCGCCCCAGGTTTAATTAAAACCTAACCTAAGTTGGCATCCAAACCATATAAAAATAAAACCTTAATCCTATATCCAATACAAGACCAAATAAAATAATTAATGTAGACAACTAACCAAATAAGTCATACAATGCACGTCATTTATCATCAGATAATTAAATTAAAACAAATAATCAATTAATTTAAAATACCAATTAATCATCCAATTAAATTAAAACAAAAAAATAATTAATTTAACACAAAAACAATGCTAATTAAACATATAGCCAAATACTCACACAAAACACAAAATCCAAATAATTAAATAAAAATGAAAATTAAATTCAAAGAAAATTTAATTTAAATTCCAACTATATCTTTTTAAATATTAGGGGTATTACAGTATCCGACCCCTTAACCAGGTTATGAGATAAGAAATTTAATCTTACTATTTCATGTTATATTAAAAACTAAAAATTATTTTTTAAAATCACAAAAATACCCTTCAAAATTTAAAAAATTATATGTGTGAGAGAGAGTGGTGAGAATTTTAGAGAGAGAAAGGGTTGAAAAGAAGATTAAAGGGTATTTTTGTAATTTTAAAAAATAATTTTTTATTTTTAATTTAACATTAAATAGTAAGGTTAAATTTGTCATTTCATAGCTCTGTTAATGGGTCAGACATGAATATTAGGGCAATATGATCACTTTTTAAAAGTGTAGGGGTTTTTAGAAACAAATTGAGATTTATGATCAAAATTTAAGAATAGTGAGGGTTTTATGATTTTAACCCTAATTTTTATTTTTATTTGTTTTATGCAAGATGATAATGTTGTAATTTGTAAAATATGAAATTTTGTTTTTTAAAATAAAGTGGTATATTATAAGGGTAATTTAGTCATTTAACAAGTTCTTAATGATTCATTGACAAAATTAGGGTAAAGTGATAACTTTGTAATACTGTTAGAGTTTTTACAAAGATGTAGTAATTTTATGATCTAAAATGATAATATTAGAAGTTTTATGATTTAAGTCCAAAAATAAATAACATATTACAATATTGCATAAAATTCCAGTTATTGGGATGACACTTTCCTGGTTACAAAATTGCAATTTGTTATTCTTCTTGTAGTGACGAAAACAGTGAAGATTGGACTTTTTTTTTTTGTTTTTTTTTTTCTTTTCAAAAAGGTGTAATAGATATGCATGTGCAACACATTTTTTTACTGTAGCATCCAACCTCATCCTTACTTTTTTTGAGGAGGACCAGTATGGTGGTAGTGGAAGATTCTACATTATCAGAACTGCTTTATTAAAGCAAAGGTACCAAATTGAAAGAAATGGACAGGGAGATTCCACATCATCAAGATGATGATGGTAGGAATCAAGGGCATGAATAGTGGTCCTTTTGGAACAGAAATATATCTGCAAAATTGAGATTACATGATCTCTTATCAAGAGATGAGATTGAATGTTGAATCCGGTTACAAATAATATTGTATGCGTGCATGTGTTTGAACTGTCCGGAATTTTTATTTTTTTTCATATTTCTATCATATCAATATAATGTGATATGAGAATGAGAGGAGGGGTGGGCACAACTGGATAAGTCCAAATTCTGTATGGTGCACTGGTACTCCACAGTGCACTAAGGACGGCTGAGCTGAGTCGGCTGACTTTAACCCAGCAGTAGTGGTGCAAGTAGGTCACTAGTGATGATTTTTTCTGGGTGATTAATGTATCCGTGTTCATGCTACTTAGTCATGGTTTTGTCTATATCGATTAATGTAAGATGTTTCGTATTTGCTGGTTCTTAATTTTTTTTTTAAAGAATTCAATATTGTTACACACATTTATAAATCCGATTTACACTAATATTCGTCCAAATTCATTACACGCGACTAATTTCGCAACTGCGAACCATATATTTAGTCAAAATCCTTATTTCTATTTTCTCTTATTGAGCAATTATATGTAGCAGTTGCCACATATAATTAATAAAATAGTGAAAATGATTTATCCAGGCCTCCGTTCGTAATCATATAATCAATTCAATTTAATTAACCATGAATTTGGTGTTCGGACTTCTGTTGTTGTGCTCTGTGTCTGATCTGTTGAGCTCTCTATATATGTAGATATTTCATTTCATGCAAGCTATGTACAGTGGAATTAAGGAGGATTGTAGGTGTAAATATATTATGTGATTATAGAGTATTGTTACCTATATGTATTAATTCATACCAACTGTATTAATATATATATATATATATAATCCCAGGCTTAATATATAACATTTTGAGCTCAACCAAGTATGAGAAAGAAATTAATTAAAAACCAAATTCTAGGAAGGTTGGTTTAACAGATAATTTTCAAGGCATTTGATGAAAGTAAGAGTTGACTTTGTAGTCTGCAGTGGCATATGAGTTTCTTCTTCGGCTTCTGTCTCGTACACCACCATGAAATCAACTGTAGTCTCTGACTCTCCGCTCGCCGTTAGCTGGAAGATTGTTTTGTATGAAGTAAATCCGAAATTCAGATGACCTCCTTCTATTACTTGCTGTGCTATTATATGCAGGGACTCGTCAAACTCGACAATCTTTTCCTTCTGGTACATCATATTTGGTACATCTAAATTTTATTACAAGTACATGAATTAATCTCATTAGCAACTCATAATATTAAACTATATAATTATATGTTATATATGAAAAATAAGTTTAGAAAGACAGTGATCAAGTAAATAAATGGAAAATGGAAAATGAGACTCACCAGAGCCAAAATTGAAGAGCATTACAGTACCAAGACCACCAATTCCTTCTATCACTTGTACATCCTTCACTAAATTTGGAATAGCTTTTGGAAGTACAAAAGTTAAATCCTTAGACAAAGCGCTCCAGAAAGCTTCAACCCCAACTCCGACCTTTGCTTGGGTTTTTACTTCCTTCCTCATGTCTCACTGATTCAATTCCTTCAAAAGATGAGTGGAATTTTTGGGGATTCAGAATGGAAAATTGTGAAGGAATTTATTCGAAAACCCGAAAAGGACAGTTCTCAAGATTAAAGCATCTTTTCTTGAATGAAATAACCATGGCTTGATAGATGCTGTTTGTTTTTTCCATAGTTGGAAACAGTCTAAAGGAAAAATCCTTTTTTTTTTTTTTTGGCTTAATAAAATACGCATGCACATTATGAGGCAGCAACGAGAGATTATACCAGCTGGGCTAGTGACCCTACGATACCAATGAAGAAGGAGTCTTCACTGGCGTGCAAGCAATGAACTGTTTGGGCATGTATTTTCTACATAATGTAGCTTACATTTGTCTAAAATAAGCCAAAACTTTATAGAATCTGCAAGAATAATTAAAGCCAGCAATTATAAAACTAAACATTTACTACGGATGGTATGAATAATAAAGCACTGCACTTAGGCTCTATTCGTTTTTGGGATTCATGGTTGACAAATGATTTTAATTAATTTACAGGCTTTTGACTCCTTATCACCGTTCAAATATCATGTTTTATCATCTTTCACGGCTGAAAATATGGGACAGTGTACTTTCATTTTTAAAACAAGGTTACAAGCTCCAAAGCATTGACCAAATACTAAAAACCCCCGCCAAGAAGTCAAGAAACCCAACTAGGCCATGTTCTTAGTTCACAGTTTAAGTTAAAAATCACAGAACAGAAGATAAAAAAATAAAAATAAAATAAAAAATCCACTTGGCAACAAGTCTATAAAACCAATAGAAGAGTGTTACACCATCTTCAAAATTGATCAAGAATTGAAGAGAAAAGTCATGAAGATATTTGGCAGAGAGTGGTTATTAATCGCTCTGCTTTTCTTTGTTTCTGGTGTTGTACAGATCAATGGAGAAACCAGGGCCTGCACCAGCCCCAACAGCCCATGCCGTCGTAAGGCGATAACGTGCCCAAGCGAATGCCCAGAATCAAAACCAAGTGACCCAAAAGCTAAAGCTTGCTATGTCAACTGCAATTCACCCATATGCAAGGCTGAGTGCAGAAGTAAGTTCTTTTTTCTGTAATCATATATAGTACTGATCGTATTACACGTATTATAAGTGTCTTCGGTTTTCAATGTGGAGGTAAGGCTGAGTACATGAAACCTTACGAGACATTGGGTGTCTCGTGCACTATGGTAGCATTTTTTAGTTATGATTTGAAAAACTATAACATGTTTTTTTGATGATTATAGACCGCATACCAATGTGCGATGGCCTTGGAGCAGCATGCTATGATCCCCGGTTCATCGGTGGTGATGGCATTGTCTTCTACTTTCACGGCAAAAGCAATGAGCATTTCAGCTTGGTTTCCGATCTCAATCTCCAAATCAATGCCCGTTTCATTGGCCTAAGGCCAGCAGGCCGAAGCAGGGACTACACATGGATTCAAGCACTAGGAATCCTTCATGGCACCCACGCTCTCTCTCTTGAGGCCACCAAGTCCGCGACATGGGATGAAGAAATTGATCATCTAAAATTCTCATACAATGGGAAGGAACTAGTCATACCAGAAGGGTATCCATTCGAATGGATATCCCCGGAAAATGACCTCAAAGTAGAGAGAACATCGAGCAAGAACAGCGTGCTAGTCACTCTCACAGAAATCGCGGAAGTTTCAGTCAATGTGGTGCCAGTGAGCGAGGAAGATGATAAAATTCACAACTACCAGATACCCTCTGATGACTGCTTTGCTCACTTAGAGGTGCAGTTCAGATTCTATGGTCTCTCCTCTAAGGTTGAAGGCGTGCTTGGCCGGACTTACCAGCCGGATTTCAAGAACCCTGCGAAGCCAGGCGTGGCAATGCCTGTAGTAGGTGGTGAAGACAAGTACAGAACCACTTCTCTTCTATCTGCAGATTGTGGTTCTTGTCTGTTCTCTGGAACTGGAGCTTTGAAACGGGAGGATTCGATTGTGATGGACGTCTATGGCGCCATGGACTGCAGTGGTGGAGCCAACAGTGGGAATGGTATTGTTTGCAGGAAATGATCTCAACTAATTTGATACTCTCTCAAAGAACAATAATTGAAAGCTTTACTTGTGATAAATAACTGAAATTTTAATACTACTATCTCTTATTGTTTTACTCCTAGCTAATGCATTTTCAATCATAATGTACTTGATGAAAGCAAATTTAATGATGTAGAAATTTGTTTTTCACTATAGTTACATTCTAATTTGTACTTCAAACTTGAATTACATGCATAGTAAATCAGAAGAAAAACAGAGGATTACTATAGGGTTTGTAAGATATCGACAAGGGCACTTAAAACCAGTGTCAACTCAATTCCAAATAAATAATGCAATATTTTAGTAATTTATGCACAACATTTGATGATTTCATTAGTCCCTTAGTTATCAAATATACTCCACATCAAATCATGTCATCCCAAAAAATAAATGAGGTAAAAAAACCAAAGTAAACATTTTCAAGCCAATTAACAATGTTATATTGGCACTAATAGAGAGTGCGGCAAAGGCAAAGTTGTTTTATTGTTGATTTGGAGGTACAGTTTTGAAATAAGAAAAGTCTCTTTCTATAAGTGAGTAAAAGTAGTGCACATTTGACTTTTATTTTTATTTTTTGGCACAGATTGCTGAGACATTGGCTGATTAGACGTTGTGAGAAATAATTAATTAAGTTTATATGATATAAACTATTGATTAAGGGTTTGTTTGTCAACCACAGTTGTTTTATATTTTTGTTTTGACTCGAAACAAAATAATATTTTTGTTTTAGAGTGTATTCACACTATTTAGAAGTTTGTTTTGTATTGTAAATTTGTTACAAGATTTTTAGATGCAGAAATATGAAAAATATTCGGTAAGAAGTGGTGCAAGTTTGAAAATTTAAATAATTAGTTAAAAATGTTATTTTACAAGGATTTTTTTTTTTTTTTTTTTTAAACAATGCTTTGTTACAGTGCAGAAGCAAACAAAAGTATCATTTTGATGCTTCTGATTTTGGCTTCAATTTTAAAAACACATTAGTACTATTTAAATCACAACGGATATTATTAAACATACTTCGTGCTTTTATTTTAATATAATATATTAATAAAAATAAAAATAAAAAAATAAAAAAAAGAAAAAAAAACACTAGTCAAACAAACCCAAAATTGTGAGTCAATGGCATGCAGAGCTGATGCATCCCAATCAAGTTCCAACTTCCAAGTTAAAAAGGTGACGTACTGCATTTATTATTTAAACACCAGTGTGGAAGCATACCGCGTAGACTAGGATTGTTACCTGCCCCACACTCCTAGCTACACCGTCCGTTGCTGTGCACATTATGGGGAAGGGAATGAAAGTCATACGAATTTAATGGTCCCACACTCCTCATCTCCTCATATTTCCTTAGATGCTATCAAAGTTCAAAACAGACAAAAAGTTGGGTTGCACACCTCCCCTTTTTTATGTAGAGAATATATATATATATATATATATATATATATATATTATATTGACTTATTTGAATGATTCTTATTAAATGCTTTAATTCATAAGACTTTTAAACGATTCAAATATTCATGATATACAAAATGATGATTCTATTTTTATTTTAATTTATTTTTTAAAATTTTAGAAGATTAGATGATGTTAAACTATTTGATATTTGATGGACTAATTCAATAATTTTTTTTAATATATTAAATTATTAATACACTCTTTATATGACTATTTTTCTAATTTAAAAATCTGGATTCAACTGCTACATCAAGTGTCAATAAATAATTTAAGACCAGCTAATAATTTTTTTAAAGATAAAATTTTAATTATACACATCCAAAAAAAAAAAAAATACTTATTCAATTCTATACATAAATGTGTACGAGAATTGTATAAGCTTTATTGATGTCACGTGCTGAAACGGCATCTGAGTGCTGCACATGCCATTTGTAAGGCTATACGTACGTATATCCCAAGTACCAATGTACCAAAACCATAACTACAGATGGGACATGGGATTAAACTGGTCTCAGCTAATTATATGGCAGAGCAACTAAACAAAAGATAAACAAAAATGGTACATAGTCTATGGGTTGATAAATATTCATAAGGCAATCGGTGTTAGTGTTTTAAAATAAGAGTTAAATAAATACAATTTTTAAATTGATTTATGCGCAAGTATAAAAAATTTCTTATATTATTATGTAATTCTTGAATGATTTATTAAAATATGAGAGGAACCTTCAAAAGAAGCAGCATGGTATTTCTAACAATTGAATCTTTTGTCGAATAAGGGAATTGAACCATAATAGAAATTAATTTCATAAAATTATATTAACTAATGCAGAACGAAAACCAATTAATCCAATAAATCTTTTTACTATTGGTGGTTTGATAATATTTAGTACAATTAATAAACTAAGTGTGTGACCTATTAGACTTTCAAGTCTTAATATATAGTCTACTTTCTTGAGAAAGAAAAAAAAAAAAAAAAAAAAAAGATAGATAGATAAAATCTGAAGCTATATGTTAAGCAAAATGGACAAGAAGGCACGAAGATGAACCAATCTGGAAAGAAGAAATTGAAGAAAAAAAAGAGCTATCTTTGACAAGAAAACCTCAATAATTCAACTTCAAAGATTACATGATCTGAGTCTCATATGAAACCCCAAGTTTTGGGAAGCTTTGCACGATGTCTCGATAATTTTGTCCGAATATTCTAGTTATCCGTAAAAAAAAAAAAAATTAATAATAATAATAATACTGCTACAAGTTTCAATATTAAAACATAAATATAAGACTATTGTGTCTCAGCCAATACTTAATATTCATGTGTAAGATTTAAGAATAGCTCCACAGAAAGTACACACAATAGCCTTCCAATATTTCCAGTAAAATGGAATATAACAGATTCTGGTGGCGGTTTTCATATCGGCGACGCTTGCGCTGCAGCCGCACCGCGAGCACATCCCGGCCACCGGCTTGGTCCTCCTCATCTTCCTCTTCTGATCCACCAAGAAGCAGAAACATACCATTGCTAGCTAGCTCTTAACGTTGTTCCAAAACAAAAGGCAATTAAAAGTCCATTGGAAACTTTTGGTATTGTTAGGGGTTTGGGAAGGTCTTAGTTTGGTTTGTTGTGTGGTATGGGGTATCATTGGTATGAGTTAACTATGGAAGTATGACTTTTATACATTGGATAACGTTAATGGTCGAGCTGTTTTCTGGTTTGCCGTTGAATCCCATTGTTACATCTCAAGCCGGTTGATGATTGACACGTGTTGGATCTTCACAATTAGAAGCAGTGAGATCAATTTGATCACGTATTTGTAGGGGGACACCTACCAACTCGGGGCTTTCATGAAAATCGTGTGGATGGTTGCCACGTGTCAGTTACAGTTGGGTGATTTAATTACTGTGCGTTAAATAAACTGAGCTGTGTGTCACTCTCAAAACGTACATGTACCCTCTGTTTTTTTTTTTTTTTTTTTTTTTTTTTTTAAATGTAAAATTGGCAAAAACAATTAACCCTTTCGTGAATGCTCACCAGTTTTTTTTTACCTGTCCATTATCAGGTTGTACAATTATACATATATACGGACGGAATCATAACAATTTTTTTTTTTCTTTGAGATATTTTGCTCTACAGTTATTGAATTTACTTTGGTATTTTCGGTACAGTTCTCCACTGTGTTTTGCACATTTACAATTATACCCTATACTTGTAGGGTTTGACTCTAACCGTCTTATATGAACTTTGGAGAAATAAAACAAGAAATTGAAGTTTTTTTAAAAAAAATAAATTAAAAATTACAGTAAAAACACACCCATTATCCATATGGGATTGAGACTAAAATCTTTAACCTACCTGTTTAGAGAAGATAATTATATTATTTTCCTTTTCATAAAAGATAAAAAGTTGAAAGAGAGAAATTTTAGTAGGTGTGACTTTATGATGAAATTATTATAGATGTAGGAATTATTAGTAGGTGTGACTTTGAATCTCATCGTCTGCATGGACTTTGGAGAAATAAAATAAGAAATTGAAGATTTTTTAAAAAAAAATAAATTAAAAATTAAAGTAAATACACACCCATTATCTATATAGGATTGAGACTAAAATCTTCAACCTATGTTCTTTGATAATAGACTTTACACGCTATTATTTTTTGAATATCCATTATATTAAGGAGGTTTTCTTACGGAAAAAAAAAAAAAAAAAAAAAAACCGTGAAATAAGTTGTTTATTCTTATTCAATTCTTTATTGCCTTTTCACAAAGATTAAAAAGGTAATGAGAGAAATTTTGGTCGGTCTACCCGGCCAAGGCGTACACTTTTTATGACCAGAGAAACGGAATAAAAAGGACTAGGTATGTGACGGGCCGACTAGTGATTCACCTACATCATAGACCAGATGTTTTTAACGACTTTAGTAGTATTTAATTTCATCAATTTCAATTTATAAAATTGAAGAAATTTTGTAAAAAAAATTTAAGCTGAGTTTTAAAATGTACTTATAATATTGAGAAGAATTAAAGATTTGAATTAATAGGAGTACGAGACTTTGTAGTTGCAGCATTTGTCGAAGATTAAAAATAATTTATGTTAAGAAATTATAAACCGACGTAATTTTAAATGTGCCACGATTTTAATTCATGTAAATGTGACCCTCGTCGGTAGATGCCACCTCATGAACGATGACAATTGACAAGAGAAGGGCAATAAATGTGGAAGGGACCAATTTGAATAAGTTGTAATTGAATTCTGTTCCTAGTATAGAAAATGAATTTATGATTCCATGGACATGTAACTGAAACTTATTAAAACATTTGGAGTTTTTCGTTGAATCTGAAGCCAAAAAATCTTTAGCGCACTTCAAGTGAAGATCATCGAGTAGGACGTATTTGGTTGAGTAATCTTCTCCATCTTAGGTTTAGTGATATTGTTCGATGGTAAATAATCAGGTCTCTAGTACTCTCATCTTAATAATCATAGATTTGATTTTCTCTCTCCATCACATTGTAATTAGGGGTGGCAAATTATGACACGACACGACAATTCGACATGAACTCGACACGAGTTAAAAGGATTTGGGTTTAGTATAAATAGGTTTGAGTCATAAAAAGGTCGATACGATTAACCTGTTTACTTAATCGTATCGGGTTACGGTTGAGGGATTCAACCCGTGTAACCCGTTTATGACTTATTTAACTCAATATATTATAATTGTGAATATAACCTATGTAATATGTTTTCTATTTAAACCGAATTACTATTGATAGTTAAGTCATTTTAACATAAACCTTATCTATGTCTTATGATTTTTCTTTTTATTTTGAATATTTGAGTTAATTATGACAATTTTTTTTTATTATTTAGTATTTGATTAAATATTAAATGTCTCATTTTAATAAACAAGTCATTAAACGGGTTAACACGATTACCTGTTTAATAAGCGGGTTGGATTAATATTGAGATTCTTGACTCGATTATTAAATAGGTTGGGTTTAGATTTACCTATTAGTATAATACCCTTACATCGACACGACACGACACGAACATTACCCACGAACACGAATTGTCACCACTAATTGTAGTACACATGATTTTTTTTTTTTAATTATTAAAATGTAACTATTTATTTTATTATTATTAAAAAAAAGTACAGTAAGATATAAAATATATGTATGACACATGTCATAATCATTGAAATGCAAGTATTTGATATATATATATATATTAAAAAGAAGTAAGATATAAAATGTATATCACATTTGACATTTTGAACATGCATTTCACATTTGACATCTTGTACTTAATACTCCATGATATGTATGACAAGTCATTATCATTAAAATGCAAGTATTTGATTTGTTTTTTTAATAAAAAGAAAAAAAGAAGTACAATATAAAATGTATGTGTCCAAGTTCTAACTAACAGCGAACTATAAAATATTATTATAGGGACGAGGTATTTTATAGTACTCCGTATTAATTTATAATATACACATATAATTATATAAACAATACGGGCCGGGTCTTTTATAGTAAACATTTTGTAGTTTACTATTAACATATACATTATATAGTGAGAGATAATTTTTTTTTTTTTTGGTCACATACTCGCTTTGTCCCCTTTAAAAATTTGAAACGTTATTATTCATTTTAAAAAGTAAAAGGAATACCATTAAGTCACATGACCATTATGAAGCATGGATACGGGTACGATACGACACTGATATGACGACATGACAAATTTTAAAAAAAATAAGACACCGACATTATACGTCTATGAAATAATATATATTCAAAATCCACAATACCATAAATCTAACCTCCCAAAAAAATATTGTAAGAAAAGAAATACTTCAATTCATCATTTAAGCAATTAAAAACCAAGCAAAGTTATCAACAAGATTAAACAAATAAGATCAAGTACAATTCCAATGAGTTTAACATTCTTCATTCATCAATTCATTGTTTATGTAGTTGTTTTTTAAACTTTTCAAAATTTTATTTTTAAACATTTAAAATTACATTAGGTATCCCTTTTTTTCTTAAAAAAAAAAATACAAAATATATCCCGCCGTGTCTAATACGTGTCCCATCCATGCCCAATAAAAAAATAATTTCTGTACACTTCACAGAAGTGTCGGACACATGTGTCTGTGTCGGACACATGTCTGACATAGGTACGAGACCCCCGAGAGGGGTGTCTGTGCGTCATAGGGAGTGAGCAAAAGATCATCTTTAAAGTTTGTCAATATAATATAGTACAAAAATATAATGGGTAAATTTTATTTACATTTTTTAACACTTCTTGCAGATGTCTTGATAGCCCAATGTGTTAGTGCCTTCGACTAATATAACTTTTAAAACTTCTTGCCTTGTAAAATTTTTTTTTTTATATCTTTTGAAGTTTATCAATATCCTACATAGGCCCCTATTGGTTTCATAATTCCACTTTCTTCCCATAAGGTTGTTGTTTAATTATAGATTTTCCCTTTGTTAAGCAGGGGTGCCAATTCGTGTTAGCGGGTCATAATCGTGTCGTGTCAACTTAAGGGTATTATATTAAACAATTCAACTCGAACACTACCCGTTTAATAAACGTGTTAAGAATTCTCAACACAAATCCGACTTGTTTATTAAATGGGTTACACGTGTAACCGTTTAATGACTTGTTTACAAAAAAAAAAATGTATATATATTATTTAAATTATTAATAATACTCAATAAAATAATAAATACTAAAAAAAAAAATATAAGTTTTAATTAACCAAATTACTAAATAGTTTATAGTTTACAAAAGATTAAATTATAAGACACAAGTTTATATAGTAATTTTAAAACTTAAATAGAAATTTATTTACGATATATATAGTTAAACGTGTATAAACAAGTTATACGGATTGAATTCCTCAATTCAAACACGACACGATTAACTAAACAGGTTAATCGTGTCGACCTGTTTATGATCCGTTTAAAACCAACCCAAATCCGTTTAACTAGTGTCGTGCTGGCAGGTCGTGTCAACTTTTGCCACCCCTATCGTTAAGGCACTGAAGATAAACATAAAAAAGAATAGAAGGTTAAGTATTGCTCTTTTAATGCCTAAAATGACAATAAACATTTGCTGGGCAAAATGATAAAATGATAATTACTTAAGATGAACAGTGATACTAATAGAGGAGATGAGTGAGGTTATGAAATTAAGAGCTGTCTAAGTGAAAAATTGACAGGCCTCTAGAAAGGTAAACATAATAATAATAATAATAAAAACTCTCAATATTTTTATATGATTTTTAATATTATAAGTTAAAAATATAAGAATTTGAGAAAATTCTTTAAATTACTTATAAATTTCATAGGTTATGTGGAATTTACCTATATAATTTATTACCGTTTGAAAACTAATAGACATCACAAAACATCTCCATAGAATGATGTCGTTCGTTTCTTTATTAAAAAATTCACTAAAAAAATGAACATAACAATATCAAGATTTTAAATAGACACCTTATCAATTTTCTATTGCGATTATAATTGACCGATTGCGAATGAACAATCAAAACATGAGTTATTTTACTGGTTGGACCTTAAATTGGACTCCGTACTAGGCCTCGTGGTCAGGCGACCCCAACCTAAGCAATCAAAGGACCCAAACAGTCTTCACCACCAAGAAAGGAAGTGGAATAGTCCCAAAACCAAATGACACAGAAAAGTGGCATCAACCGTATCTCACTTTCCATTCTCTATGCGTTTCTTTTCTTTTCCCAACCGAACACTCACACATGACTGATCACCCCACCACCCCACCTCAGCCCCGCCGCAATCCTCCCTCTCAACCATCAAGTTGCTCCGATCCAGAGATGGGTGGTTCACCTAACGTTGATTTCCCATCTGGGTCTCACTGATTATGGGTTGTTTTGATTTCAGATCGATAATGGAGGACGAAAGGTACTCTCAAGAATTCGATGTGGCCATTAGAGTGGTACACTTGGCCTGTTCTCTGTGTAGGAGAGTGCAAGAAGGTTTGGTTTCTTCGAGCAGTGATCAGGTTAAGTCCAAGGACGACGACTCACTTGTTACTGTTGCAGGTATTTGTTTCACTATTTTTTAGTTTTTTCGAATTGGGTTCTTGTATTTTTTTTCCCTTTTCGTGGGTATGCTTTTGATGGAATGTTGTATGCTGGGTTTTAGGTTTTTGATGATCTTGTTTTGGTTCAATGGTGTTAGATTTTTTCCAATAATTTTACATTTACATTGTTTAAGAAATTGGGATGAAAGTATTTGACGGTAAACTATAGGCATTTATCAAGAGAATGCAATTTTAATGGTTTGAAATGTGGGAATTTTAAAATGGAATTAGCTTGTATTGAATTTAAATCACATTTTGATATCGCTTCTAAAATGCTCGGATTATAGCAGAATTAGAATTGAATTTACCAGGGTAAGTTTGGTTGGAGAAAAATGGGACGAGAAGAAAAGAAAGAAAATGGAACGAATGAAAGCTTATATTGTGTTTGGTATAAAACAAAATGTAGAAGGAAATGGCAAGATTTAGAGGGAGAGAGAGGCTCACTACTGGATGGAAACAGAAGGAAAGGATAACTGAGTTAGTAATTACATCTTTCGGATTATTTTATTCTATTTATATACACACATATTAATACCAAGTGAGTTACAGTTTTATCTTTATCACTCACGAAATAAAACAATCTTCTATTTTTTTTTCTCCACTATCTGTCCGGCATATGATTTAAGGTTTGTACTATATTTTCCTTTCCCTTTCATCATTAATCACCTAAACACGATAAGAGGTTGACATTATCCTCTCCTTTCTTTTACTATCATTTTGTCCCTACTTATTACAACAACTTATATTGTATTAAAACTCTATTCAATTTATATCGTATTCATACATGAAGAGTTTGATGTCAAATCCTTTAATTCCGTTCACTCTGTTTAAAATTCCTCTTCTTTGGTTCCAATTTCCAAACACAACATTTATACTCTGTTTGATTGCTGAGAAAATGTAAGAATTAGAAGTGATGTTTAGAACATCCTTCCAGTTAGAGCATCATTCAACTATTTGTTTTTATTGAGGTTACGATTTTTTGTTCTTTGGTCACTAAGCTAAGCAACATAAAAGATGAGATGTAAGATGTCACTTCCATTTCTTTTCTTCACTTTTATTTGCAGCCCAACATAGGGTAGATATTAAAGGTATGTATGCACATATTGTTTTAAAATGTTGAATACTAATTTTATTTGACACTTTTGGGATGTTGGAAAGTTTGTTGAGTTGCTTTCTCTTTGGGTTAGATACTGTGCGAAGTTATTTGTCATCGTACTTGGGGAAGATACTAGCCTTAAAATGTGCCCATTTTCTCTTCTTCATTTTGTGTAGAATTCCTCAAGTATTGTTACTTATTCAGATGCATATAGCTGTTGGTGGTATAAGGATCACAGAACTGATTATAAACTACCAACCCAATTGAATTATATGAAGGATTTGTTTCAGCAATTCCTCTTTAGGTGCATCATAGTTTTTCTTTAAAGCAACTATTAAGTTTTGGTTCGTATCTGTGCTTTGTTCTTCTTTTGTGTGCATATGTATGTGGGATGGGCGGTATGATGTAGGACAGACCTTAAGCAAGGTAAGTCTGCCCTATGCATTTCTAGTTGAATTATGGTAAATTAGGGATTTGGCTTCAAGGCATTATTGTGAAGATGGTGTTAGAGTTTTAAGTATGGAATAAGGTTTTAAGTTTTGGTTTCTAAGGATAATTTGTCTAGATTCAAAAGTGAAAGTTTGCTTGAATTTTTGTACGGCAAGGAAAATTTTAAGTTCAAGGTCTATGGGAGTGGGGTAATTTAGGGTTAGGGTTTAAAGATTAAAGATTTAGGGTTGTAGGGGTAAAGGTAGGCTGCTTATGGCTTGTAATTGTGCAGAGCATGTCGGGACTAAAAAGTATTCATGAAAAAGGAGAAGAAAATATCTAGAAAAAGAAAAGAGAAACCTTAGTCTCTAAAAGACCTAGGAGATTCATCAAGAAAAAATCAATCGAGTCTCATTTTTAACCAATTTTTTTATTAATTAGACTTAGATTGCTCAATAGGATGGTGATAACGAACCTAACTCGAGTTTAAACTTAATGAAATCAATGCTTATGTTTATTTCTCCATCTTGTTTCTCTATTTTTTTCTTTCCTATAAATCTAATCCATTTTGATGCTTATATTTGAGGCAATATGTTACAGAAAGATAGAATGTTTCACCTCTGCCAATCACATTTTTAAACCACGGCTGCTTCATTGCCGATTTGCAAATTTCACCTCCTTGTAAAATTTTCAGTTTAATGCTAACCTGATTTTCTTTCTCCTCTTGATTTGTTCTGTCTCTATGCAGTATGAGGCTGAACTTTTTTTGGCCGGAAATATTCGTCATCTGCATCGTAGTACCTACCATTGAAACCATCTTTAATTTTAAAATTAAGTTTTTATTTTTTTAAGTAGATACCTAAGGATAAAAAGGAATTGTATTCTTACTTATCAAAAAAAAATAAAATAAGGAATTGTATTCTTGCATACAACACCTCAGAAGACTTCTTTTTGGGTGATATTGCCTGTTTCATTTAAGGTCTGATATTGGGGATTTTTGGGGCTGCTAAACTAGATTTCCTTTTAAAAAATATTGCCTTGGAGGATATCTATATATATATTTTGGTCATTTAACTGGTCGTGTAACCATGGAAACTAGTTACTGTTAGCTGAAAATTTGTTAGAACAGGTAATAATACACATTGAGACAATATGAACTGTTTGTACTTGTAATGTAACCTAGAACTTTTAATGTTTAAGTATCTCTAGATGAAAAATTATGTTACGTGCTCTGAGCTGAGGTTACTCATGAGCTGAGGTAACTCATCTTAATTCTTATGTTGTGTACATGTGTATTGAACTGCATGCTCTTTTGGCTAATTCTCTTAATGTTTCTCTGCACGACAGATTTGAGCGTACAAGCAACAGTTAGCTGGACACTGTCAGAATTCTTTGGTGGCCAGAATGTTTCCATTGTTGCTGAAGAAGATGTCAGAACTCTGTCCAAGGCTGATTCAGCAGATCTATTGGAAGCGGTGGTATGCACTGTGAACCAATGCTTGGCTGAAGCACCCAAGTTTGGCCTTAAAAGTCCAGACAAAGCCCTAGGGCCTCCTCAAGTTCTTGCGGCCATCAGCCGATGCAGCTCAACTGGGGGCCCTAAAGGAAGGCATTGGGTCCTTGACCCTGTTGATGGAACATTAGGATTTGTGCGTGGAGATCAATATGCTGTGGCTTTAGCCTTGATTGAGGATGGGCAAGTTGCTATTGGAGTTCTTGGGTGCCCTAATTACCCAATGAAGAAGGAATGGCTAAATTACCATCACCAACACTATCAAACTATGTCAAAAATGTCATCATCAACTCTTGATTCTCGGGAAGAAGGATGCGTGATTTACTCAAGGAGAGGTAGTGGAGAAACATGGATGCAACCTTTAATCTATGGTGATAAGAAGCTTGAGTGGCCAAACTTTGCAAGAGCTATTCGCGTTTCTTCCATTAATGATCCAGCACTGGCAACTTTTTGTGAACCGATGGAGAAATCAAATTCAAACCACTCCTTCACTTCTGGACTTGCTGAAAGCATTGGGCTTAGGTATGTTCGCATTTGGTCTCTCTTATTACAAATTTAAAGTCTAAGGCTTCTACTCGGACTGTTAAAGGTGGTTGGTTGAATTTAATTTTGTTAAAAAGTGGAACCAAGATTGTCATAGGTTGCTGTTAAAGGTATTCAGTTTTATTTTATTTATCCAGAGGAAAGCAATCTAATAAACTACAGAATCAAGGAAGTGAAAAATTCTCTTCTACCCTCAGTTCCTTGTAAAATTCAAGAGACTATATTTTAGTATGAAAGCAAGAATATTCTCCACACTGTCGCTCTCCACAAACACTTACATATATGTATATAACAAAAAAATGTGAAACTAATAGAGTGACTAGAAGTTTCACCACAGAGATTTATCAGGAAAAGGAGTACGGCTGAGAAGTTTTGGTCTTAGATTCATGTTCTAGAAAGTGAATTAAGAGGATAAAAGTAGTTTACAGCAGAATAGTATCTGTTCTCGGCCTTAATTTGTAATCATACACTCGGTCCTAGCTTTTCTTTGCAACATTTACTTGCTGAGGATCCTTTTTGGATACAATATAACTGATATATTACCTAAGTAAAATGTAAAGCTTTAGATAACTGGAAACTGGAAATAGCTGGTTTTCTTTCTGTAGTCATAATAAATTTTTTTAATCTAATAGTTTCTTTCTTTTAGTCAGTCGGTAAGATTTGAATTCAAACTCATTTCTCTCAATGCCTTCACCTCCATGCTGAGACAGCCTTAACCACTATACATTTTTTTTATTTTTTATGCTCTCATGGCAGAAAGAAACCACTTCGTGTTTATAGCATGGTGAAATATGCAGCCATAGCTCGGGGAGATGCTGAGATCTTTATGAAGTTTGCAAGAGCTGGGTACAAGGAGAAAATATGGGATCATGCTGCTGGTGTTCTTATCGTGCAAGAGGCTGGCGGTGTGGTAACTGATGCAGGAGGGCACCCTCTGGATTTTTCAAAAGGATTGTTTCTAGAAGGTCTTGATCGGGGCATTGTTGCTTGCTCTGGGGCTGCACTGCATGAGAAAATTATTGGGGCTGTTTATGCTAGCTGGGACTCTTCTAACCTGTGATGCTTACTTTAGTGTTTCTACGGGGCCCAATACACTGATGCGGAATTATTTTGGTACCTTTGGCAGGTTAAGAAAATTGCAGTAACGAGTGTTTCACACAGTTGCGGGACTTTTAATTTTGGTTTCTTCATTGCATCAAGCATTGTGATAGGCCTACTAAGTCAATTTTTTGTGTGACTTGGCTGGTTTTGCGAAATGGATTGATGTTGTGGAGCTTTCCTTGAGCATATATGTAGTCGGAAATTTCTGTCAACTATAATTTGTACAGGAATACCAAGTTTTTTGTGTTTTATTTCTTATTGATCCCTAAAATGGCGAGGACAATGGCCTGTCAATATATTGCTTACTTGGTTTAGAAGTTTCATCTATGAGTAGACATTAACATTTTAGATTTGTTGGACGGACCAACTTGATTTGAAAATGTGATAATTTCAATAAATGCATTGGTAAAAAAATCTTGATGTAAAATGTTGGAATTGGAGGATATTCATGCCAAAGTTCAAAATGTTTTAGTATATTTGGGGAAAAAGTACAATTTAGAGTAAATAAAAAGGGGAACCTGTAGCTAATGAAGTTCACTTTCATACAATGTCATCTGTTGAATAGAGTGTTAATCAAGTAGTGTTACATAAACTAGGTTGAAGAAACAAGGTTTTGTTTCAGTATTTTGATTCTTCCCGTCCTTGATGATAATTCGCGTTTATTCCCTTAATGAATGTCCATGTTTTCTTGAGAAACTCAAAACTTGTGGATAGTGTCTCCATGAACTCTAATATCACCCGAACAAAACCAATTGCCAAAAAGAACACTTTCACGCACTTCCATACCCAAAAAGAAAACGGTCCGATGCACTTTGCATTGAATGTCCATATAGTCTTTAGAAGTTCAATTAATATGTTGTATAGTGTCTCCGCTAATTGTGTTTTCAGAGCAACCATAACTAATGCCAAAAACAACACTCCTTTCCGCATTGCAGTACCTAATACAAACAACAACAACAAATTTATTTTCGATGTTAAAATTCAGTATAACATAAATGACAACGTGAAAACTTTATATATAGTGTGTTTTCAGAGCAACCATAACTAATGCCCAAAACAACACTTCCTTCCGCATTGCATTACCTAATACAAACAACATCAATTTTTCGATGTTAACTTTCAGTATAACATAAATGGCAACAGAGAACGTGAAAACTGTATATAGTGTCTCCACTAGGTGTGTTATCAGAGCAACCATAACTAATGCCAAAAACACCACTCCCTTCCGCATTGCATTACCTAATACAAACAACATCAAATTTTTCATGTTAAATTTCATTATAACATAAATAACAACAGGGAACGTGAAAACTTTATAGCTAATTAACTAATTAAGTTTTCACAGTAACACGAGAGAGATTTTAAAACGAATGATTGAAGAAGTGAGAAAAATGTAAGCGCTATTGTTTTCTTTCTCTCTGTCTGTATCAGTATATCATATAAATGGAGAGAAGAGGCAAGACACTCGAAAAGAAAAATCCACAAACACATAACACACGTACAAACACATAACACACACACAAACACATAAGGACTTTGGCCTTCATTGTGATTCACACTCACCTTTATTCATAATATCGTGACTCATCTAATAATGTGCCTTAATTTAGCAATTTTATTGATTGATATAATAGGACTTGTCTCCAATAAATGTGGAACAAGCAAAAAAAGTTTCAGAACAAAATAACATGTCAAGCAATAACGGAGAGAAAGGAATGTTGAGCATATTTTCAAATATTCATCACCACTCCAAAGGAAGAGAAGAGAAAAAAAAAAAATTAATAATTTGAACAAAAACAAACAAGTGATGGAATACTGGTGAGGAATGACTTAACTTGTTCAATGTGTTTAGTTAACGGATTATCGGATTCGGATTGCTAACAAATTATTAGATTGAATGTTCTAATTCATATTCTAATTATGAATTTGGAACGAATTCGGATCAAAATCTGATCTCATTCGTTGACAAGTCTACCCACATCCTAAAAGTAATGACGATTATATAAATTATTCTAAAGAGTTGAGCCTTTTTACTTCTATACAAGGAGTTTATACCCAATTTTTATTTTTAGTTTTTAATTCCTAAGTTCTAAATCAAAACTGACGATATAAAAAGAAAGCTTCGTCGGTCATAGGAACAGAAATATTAATTAACAGAAATCACCAAACAATTCTAATAATTAAAGCAATACTGATCCATAATGTTGCTTACCCAAAAAAAAAAAAAAAAAAAAAATACTGATACATAATATGTAAAAAAAAAAAAAAAAAAAAAGGGACCTAATTTTCAGACACAGGACTAAGGTGGCAAAGGCATGAGAGAAAATTAATAAAGTTGAATTTAAAAAAATTAAGTAGGAGGACAAAGATTGTGTACCTGGCATGGTCGGATTTTGTATATGAAATGAAAAAATGGGAAGCAATATCTCTTCTCTTCTGAGGTTTGTGTAAGTAGACAAAAATAAGCTCAAAAATAGCATAGTCGTTGTTATTTTATGAAGCCATCGGCGAAGGTTGACTGGGTTGACGTCGTCTAAAGCCAGGCGAACTGCAAATGACTCCCTCTGACTTTCACCTCTTAGCAAATAACCCCTCTATGAAATGTTTTAGCAAATAACCCCCTCGGATATTCTAACTGACTTTCGTTCAAGTGATTTTCTAACCAAATTTTGGGACGAAATTACCCCCTCAACATCTTCGACATCCGTGGCGACTGTAAGAGAAGAGATCGCCCGAAAATGGGTGGAGCTTCCGCTATTTCTACAGTGATGCCAACGGGCGGCCACCAAAACCCAAACCCAAAATCTCAACTCAAAACCCAAAATTAATCAACAGAGGTCGGCATCCTGCAATGATCAAAGTAACAGAGGTCGTCACAACCAAATTTGGACTGTCAATCGAATTCTGAGCAAAGCTTCAATGACCGCAGGCCTTCGTTGAAGATCGATGTGGCTCAGCAGAGGTCGTCATACCAAATTTTGGACTTAGCCAAGTCAACTCATCCATCGACGCTACCTTTGGATACAGAGGAGGAGAGAGTACACTACAGAGGAGTCCGGCGAAGGCCGTGGGGCAAGTACGCGGCCGAGATCCGAGATTCGAACGGCGCGGGTCTAGAAAGCCCAATATTGTATGGTGACAAGCTCTCCAAGGGCGAGAGTGTAGTCGTCATCGAGTCCGACAACGCCGACATGGACGTCGAGACCTTCTATGACGGTTACTTGGCCGCCATCATGGTCGACGAAGGTGGTGTCGCCGCCGTCGGATCCGCCATCGCCCTTCTCGCTGAGAACGAGGAAGAAATAGACGAAGCTAGATCGAAGGCTAGTAATTCGTCTACTTCGTCTTCTCCATCTTCTTCGGCTGAAATTTCAGATTCGCCTCCTCCTCCGCCTCTGTTGTGGAATGACATGAATGTTAAAGTGACTGCAACCTGTATACGAGTTCCAGTTATGCGTGCTCTCGCTGAGAGCGTCAACCTTCAATTTTTTTTTTGTTTTTTGGGAAGCCTATTGATGAGGTAATGTTATGATATTCTCTACTACTGTATTGCCTTTTAACTAGAAGTTTTAACTGAGTGTGGTTGCTGACAATTTTTGTCGCAAAAACTATTTTCAAAGTAGATATATATATATATATATCTATATATATTTTACTTTGACCAGTTTGTTCTTCCAAATGTTTGAAATTTGAGTAGTAGGATGCTACCTGTGACAATATTGTTGAAAATATATTTTTCCTTGTGGATTCGTGGCTGGTTTACCATTTGTCTTGTATATTACTTTTGTGCTTACACATGTAACATTTTTTTGTGCTTACACATGTAACATTTTTGTGATTTTTTTTCAAATTTTCCACCTATGCTTCTGAATTATCCATAATCATGATGGATGATTACACTATAAGGACATGTACGATGGATGTGTGTGCATAATTAGAATGACTGTGGAAAGTTGACTTTGCATAGGGTAATTTAGTTTAAAAAATTATCTTAAAAAATAATCAAACGGAGATCGGCTAGAATACACCTCTTATGATAGTTGAGGGAGTATTTTTTTGCTAAAATGTTTTATAAGTATAGTTATTTGTTAAGAGGTGAAAGTCAAAGGGGGATATTTGCAGTTCACCCTCTACAGTCCTTCATCACTCCTTTCTGGATGATTGATACTAGTATGGAAAGTGGTTTGCAGACCATGCTCTTTAGACGCTAATACTCCACACATTGTCTTATCTTTTATCTACGTTGAAGGTTTGATAAGATCAATATTTTAAAGAGTATTATTGGGTTCGAGAAAGAACTATAAAATAGATTGGATTGGGAAAAGTATGTGATCTACTGAATATATATGATGATTATATAATCAAATTTCATATATATATTGATTATAATCATCAGGAGTATTATTTTTACTAGGGTAGGATTGCAATTCAGGTAGGGTAGAGGCACAGTTCGATTTCAACCCAAAATAGAACAGTTCAATCTTAATACAAGCCGAACAACATGTTCAACCGAGTTCAACCCATGTTTACATTTTTCAACTCGGATTTATAATTTGGATTAAAATTAGATTGAGCAAGGAAATGATAAGGTGCATTGAGGGACATGAATATATATATATATATATGTATCTATGTTATGTATGATCGGGTTTGCAAATTGAGTTGCTCAAGTTAGCTAACTGAGGATGAGTTCGGATTGGGTTTTGGGTTGGCAAAGCAATGAACCCAAGCCTAGACCAAATTTCAAATACCCAAAATTTTTTGGATTGGGCTTGGGTTAGGCAGTCCGAGTTGCTGTGTTTTTATAGGATTAGATCCTCTAAGAAGTTGTACATGAGTTTGAAGAAAAAAAAAAAAAAAACAGAAAATTCATAAATGCTCTGCTTCGGATAGTGGGTTAGCAAGAACCTATGCATCTAATTGATGGAATTAATGTCTATGACTTCTTTTTTTTAATGATTTTTATTAATTCAGGAACTCTCATGCACGAATTCATGCTAAATTGCTTGTATTAATTCTATGATTTCTTCATAGACTCCAACTGTAACAATATATAATATATCAAAAAATAATGTGTCTCGCAACATGACATGTGTAACCAATTAATTTTAACATGTTGAACTTTAAAACCTTTCAAAAATCTCAAAACAAGGTTGGAAAATTTCCAATGAATTAGATTCTGCATGACAGAGTCTAGAGAGTTCTTGAACCAGTTGGAGAACTTCCAACTTGATCTCTTGACCACAAATCACAAAACAAATGAAGGCAATGTATGCTATAACTTGAAGGCCTTAATTTCACTCTATTTGACTTGATTTTGAAAGAGATACAAGCCTCTATTTATAGGCTACACTTTTAGTACGAATTTACTAACATTCATCTCCCTTTTCATGATTCATTTCTCTTTCTCGATTCATCAGAGAAGAGAAGTAAAATACAGTGATTAGACTCACCCTTAAAACTTAGCAGGAATCACCAGTTCTGATTTCCTTAGAAAAATGCTTTAAAAAGGTACCTCACCACTTCACTTCCTGTGTAATGCCTGATTACTAAACATCTAAAGACATTTTTTACTTTCCCATTTTTTCAAAATCAACCAGCAATAGAAACATACTAAAACTCCACTCCTGAATTATCTACCAGCAACAGTTATGTACAATAATACATTGATCAATGCTAGAAGTTCCATTTTTTTTTTTTTCAAAAGTTTTCAACAAAATCACAGTTGCTAAAAATGCTAGTGTCAACTAGTCCTATCTTTCCATTCTATTATTGCATGCAAAGTCTTCCTCCACAAATTCTTTGACAAACTGCTTTGCAACACTTGCTAATTCCGGGGCAAGTCGTCTGTTCATCTCAAGTTCTTCCATCAACAACGTCTCTGCTTCTTCACTCCTCAAGCTTAAGCTTCCCCAACCTTAATCATTCATCAAGCTTGCACAAGCATGTCCCAATATTGTCATCAACAATTTCCCCCACGACAAAATTTTCCGAGGCGCTTCGAGAAGAACACCGTCATAAAATCTTCTCTAGGAAAAAATTTCCTCTCTGACATTCCTGAACTATGTTTTCCACTTCATTTTTTTTTTTTTTAAGTTGTACATTACTCAACCTATCCGTAACTTCTTTCTTTCTTTTGATTTCCTGTCTGGAGCTCTGCAGTTTCCAGTTATGTCTTAACATCCTTCTCTCGACAGCGCATAGCCGCCATCTTTACTTCAAGAACTTGCAGCTTTTCAGCTGTAGAGTGATATAGCCACTCATAAATGGATGTCCATATATATTCTCGAGAAGTTCAGCTATAGCACTCATTAATGAATGTCCATATATTATTGAGAAGTTCAATTTTGTTCAACAGTGTCTCCATGAACGGTATTTTAATCACAACACCACCTAATGGCAAAAACAACAGTTCCATCCACTTTGCATTGAATGTCCATATATTCTTGAGTTGTTCAATTTTGTTGAACAGTGTCTCCACGAACTCTATTTTCAGTGCAACAATACCTAATACCAAGAACAACAATACCCTCCACATTGCACTACCAAACACAAAGAACATCAAATTTTCGATATTAGGAACCTCACAATCTCATGTATACAGGAAGGAAAACAAATATGTAAACAACCAATATCCTACCACAAGGAGAGAAAATTAAAGAAATATATTAATAAATCATCCCTGAAGTAACATGCATGATCAATATAAAACTAATGAAAGAGCTTCCGATGAATTGCATTCAAGTAGATGCATTGATGATGATACAAGATTACGTTGCTAAGAATATATAAAAATTTTAATACATGAAGGAATAAAATGATTTTGTTACCATATCGAAATTTAATTTAGAGAAAGGGAGAGAAAATACCAGATCATGAATTTTTAAAGTATGGGGGTCTGTTTTGAATGCACTAGGGTCTTCTTTCTTCTTTCCAAAGAGATATATATGAGAAGGGATGAAGAAGCTTCCTGTCTGTATCAGTGTCATATAAACGGAAAGAAGAGGCAAGACAATAGAAAAGAACACAGGCAAAACACAAGGACTTTCACCTTCATTCGTGTATAGCATCCTATCTAACTCATTAATCTAAATAACATGCCTAGACTTTATTGATATAATAGGACTTGTAAGTTGTTTCCAATCAATGTGGAACTAGTACCAAAAGTTAGCAGAATAATATGATATGCCAAGCAACAACAGAGAGAAAAATGTAAGGTCTACTGTTATCTTTCTGTCTGTATCAGTAACGAAAATTTCGCAAAACACACAAGGACTTCGACCTTCATTGTGATTACTATTACCACCTAGTTAACCTGATCTGAGCTATTAATTTGGGCTCACCTTCATTCATAAAATAACATGTGGAGCAATAATGGAGAGAAAGGAATGCTAAGGATATTTTTCAAATATTCAAACACCACTCGAAAGGAAGGATAGAAATTAAACAGACAAGTACTGGAATAGTAATGAGGAAGAGCTTAACTTGTTCAAAAATAAAGGGCGTCTCTAAAAATCAAGATGATAGATTTCAATTTATTCTATTACCCCATCATGCAACTTCATGGATTAAAAAAAAAAAAAAAAAAAAAAAACACCAAAACTGACATTCTTAATTTGTTGTTAATTTTAATTCTAGGCCCAAGCAACCATAATGATGAATAGCAATTCCAACTGAACTGATAAACTAGATTAGGCTAAGTAGATCAAAATTCCTTAGTTGTTAAGTAAATGGGGTTGTTTTTTAGATCCAAATCTTCTGATTATCCATATCAAGTAAGCCAAGGTTTTTCCAATCTCTTTAAATTTGTTTAATTAACGGAAATCACCAAACAATTCCAACAATCAATTAAAGCAGTACTGATACACAATAATGTTAAGAGAAAACAAGACCCATTTTTCAGAGAAAATTAATAAAGTTCAATTTTTTAAAATTCAGGAGGACGGAGATGGTGTACCTGAGATGAGCGGATTTTGTATATCAAATCAAAGATGCCAAGCAATATCTCTCCTCTCCTCTTTTGATTTCTGTGTAAGTAGACAACTGGAGCTCAAAAATACTATTTCTCAACGCTCTTATGTCGGTCTATTTTATGAAGCATCTACGAATGTCCTTCACTCCTTCCTGGATGGTGAATGGAAAATTCCCTCCGGTGTGCAAATAAGACTTGCAATAGAATTTTTATTTTTTATTTTTTTATTTTTATGAATGGAGATTAGTAAAAAAAATGTTAAAAGAAAATGTAAAAGTTTGATGGGTGTGATTTATTATAAGATTTTTTTAAAAAAGAAAATGAATTCGAGTTCCTCTTTTTTAGTCTAAGCCCGTACCAAATTTCAACAAACACTGCCAAAATTCCTTGGATAAGTCTACTCGAGTTGTAACCCTATCATAAGGTTAGGTCCTCTCATAATTTGTACATAAGAGAAAAATAGTTGACCCATAAATGTCACAATGAAATCTCATGTCATCCGTATTCTTTGTCATACAAATTGTTTTGAGGTTATGCTGCATGAATCTTATGTTTTCATTTGGCTCTAAAGCCAAGGAATGAATAGAAGTTGAAAAAGTAATGAACTGATTTTTACCATCGAAGTGCCTACAATTAGTTGAAAAAGTACATCTACATGGTACCATATATATTTGTGACTCATATCCAAGGTCGAACAATTTTTATTTATATATATATATATATATATTTAAACACACTCTTTTTGTTTTTACGTGGACTTCAACCAACATGTATCACAAAAACTTTATTAGATGCGAAACAATGTGTTAAAACCTTAATTACAAAAAATGCACCTTGATTCGCATTTGAATCATTGATTAGGATGAAGCAAAGCGATGTTGATGTTCAATGTGTAAGTGTTGCATAAACAATCCTATCTGAGTAGTACAAAAAAATATACATGGTGATCTGTAACTTTGTAGAGGAGTTGTACACACTAACAAAATGAACGTTCTTCTATATATAGAAATGATCATTGTCTTTGACAATTGTAAAACTACTTTCTTATACTACATTGGTGCAGATAATCACCAAACCAAAATGAACAAAATCATCTGACATGACATGTATGATCTTTGAACTTGATAACTCTGTTTTGACTATGTTATAGTACTACATTAACTCGGCTTTTTCTCAATTTGTTCAGTGAACCAGTCAACCTTTACTTACTAATTTCATCTTCTCCTCCTCCGAGCTTCTTCATCATCATTTATAGGATAGGAAGAAGGAGGGTCTACTGCATCATTCTTCATCCGATGGTATGGATTCAGGAGTGCCATGAGTCTCTCGGATTGAAACCACGACGCCCAGTATGATCTTTCTTGCTAATTCGTCAGCGCATCTGTTCAACTCATCCTGATGCATGCCACAACATCAAAAATTATACTACAGTGAAAGACAAGGCAAATCTCGGTCAAAAAAAATGCATGCAAGTTATAAACTAAGCTAAATAATATTGAATTAAACTGAACTTTTGTTTTTCATTAATTACCATGTTGACATATGGAGCAAAAGCCTGTCTGAGGTCAATGCGTGGTCCAGATGATGTGGATTCAGCTATAAGAGCCGAAGCTGCCATTATGGATGGCCTGAATTTCGTAAATTCGATATCTGTGATTAAAGCAAAGATTTTGTTAATAATCAATTGATACAACACCAACTAAGTACCCAAAAAAAAAAAGAAAAATCTGGTTACCAGTGTGCATTTTCTTCAGAACGTTATTTATAACCCTTCTTTTGAGATCTTGTTCAGAGTCATTGTCAATGTTTAACGAAGAAACGAAGAAATCAACGAAGCAAAAGGCCGTGGTAGAACGCATTCGCCAGTCCAGTGTGGAGAAAATCCGAAGCTCCGTCTTCTTTACTTCCACCACCGGAAGATTGCGGAAATTGAGGCTATCCTGCACATGCATGAACACATTGAAAATGTTGAAATTTACACATGAAGAAGGAAAGAATACAAGAATGAATCTAAGAGTGCAAATTTTATACCAGCAATTCACGCAAGTTGAATCTAACTGTCCTCATTTTCCAAGCGAGTGAAAGACAGCTGAATGCAATTAACATTGTTACCCGCAATGATATGTCCTGCAATTCACAAAATGATCAAGATTGTGTAAGAAATTTTCAATACCACAAGATTGAAACTAATAAACGCACGAGATGGTTCTTGTTTAACCTCCATTAGTAGCCTTGAGAAGAAGCGATCGAAGTAAGTCAGAGCGAGAAGTGGGATGAAGGGATCATCGGGATTAAATGGGTTTTCTCTATACTGCAACAATTAACACAGACCATGCTCAAATTTTAGAGAACAAGAAACAATCACCATTATAATAAAGTCAAAGAATCAGGAGTTTCTGGCTCAAGAATGTGTTTTTCTCACTAGCTTGAGTATGAAGTCCAACGCTTGCTTTCTTCGACTGACCGCAGTGGGGTTCTGGTGGTAGTTCTCAGAGGCCATGAAGTCTGCTTCAGCTGCCAAGAGACTCTGAATGGCCTTGAGCTCGGATTCGTCATCGTCATCCATTTCACTTCTTGTTCGTTTTCAGTCTGTAATTATGATTTCTGAGAGAATGGATAGTGATTGTTTAGAGAGAGAGAGAGAGCCCGCGTTTGGCACGCTTAAGAGGAAGGTGGTTTTAGTTGAGAGTCTCTCTGAGGCGGTTATTTTGATAGTTGTTACTGTTACAAGCATCAGAGAGGGAAAGTCCTTTGTACTGGATGGGACCAATAGTTGTTACCGTTAGAAGCTCTACCCTTGTTTTTGTTATTGAGTTTCTTTTGGTCTTTTATATGATGGTGGAGGTGGGGTTTTCAATGTTTATCCTGGGTACAATCCTCGTGAGGGCAACTGTAAAGTTGTTCTATTGTAATTTAGAGGTCACGAGTTTAAAATAAAAAATAGTCACTCTATTTGAAGGTAAGATTGAATCCCGCAATGAAAGGTAGCCTTGTGCACCGGGCTTACTTATATATACATACACACACACACACAAATTTACCTTACTTAGGCGGAAAAAAAAAATCGCATTTGGAAGATATTGGTAATTGTCATAGCATAGAGAGTGAAGAATCTAAGCACAAATCAAAAATGATTTCAGCTCTTTCTTGAATCAGTTTCACCACCCTGTCAAGACTTATTCCATTCTCAACTCTCAAGCCAAAGTTTTCTCAAACAAAGTCCTAATTAAATTCAGTATATCAATATCCCATAGAACATTTGAATAGAAACTAAGAATCTGCATAAATGGCTAAAGCTCATGTCCCTAAGTTATCTATATTTGTGTTTGCGCTGTTTGCATTTATGCTCACACCAGTAGTTTTTTTTTTCCCAGAATAATATCATATTATCAATATGTGAAACTTCACTCCACAATCATTACAACATAAAAATTCGACACGAAAACCAAAACAAACTTCAACATACAGAGGAAATAAATTCTTTCCACGCTAAAACACAGCTTTCCAACTCAAAACACCTGCAAAGATTAGAGAAAACTACATCCATTACATAGTCAACGGAAATAGGCATCGTTAACTGCTTTTTATACCTTCTACTTGCCCACAATTAGTTTGGCTCGTGCATGTCCAGCTTCTATCCTGAACTGTTCTCCCAAGCCAAAATGGGCCATCAGCAACCAAACGAAAGTAATAAGCTCCCCACCTTTGCTGAGCTGCTGAGCATGGGTGTTTGCTCTGCAATGACTTGCAGCATAGGACAACAATTCCACCCACACTTTGCTCATTATCATCCACCTCTTCGTCGGAAGAATTTTGTTCAGATCTTTCGCGAGCATACATGCGTCAAACAACAGTGATTTGCTTCTATCCCCCTTCACTTCAACTGGTTTGACAACTGTATTTACAGAAAGTAGATTCACACGGGGTGCTTTTCGTTCTTCATTTGAGTCCGACTGTTTTCTTTTAAAACAATTCAACAATTTCTGCCATGATGATTTTGATTGCCCCCTGTGAAAAAACTTCCTGGCTTCCTCACAGGTGTCCTGGAACCTGATTTGCCCAATACCTGCCACCGCTGACATCATTGTAGGCCGCATGACTAGAAGATACAACATATATTCTGACAAGCGCATACAATATTCACGATTTGGATCGTCATTGGATTGATTATTGTCATTGAAATAGCACAGGTCAGTAGCAATATGCCACAACAAAAGGCTTTCATCATATTCAACCTCCTCCTCGCTCACGCTTGATACAACTGAGGCGTGGTAGCAACTGTTTTGCGAGAGAACCCAATCACCTCTCGCTGAAAATATATCCTTTGCAGTTTTTGAATCCTTTGCTCTCAGAGCCTTTGCCCTCAACTCAGAGAAAATAAATTCCTTTAGATTCTCCTCAACAGGTTTGGTTTCCTTGTATTGCATTTCATCAAAAAATTCCTTGAGCCCGAAAAAATCAGTTACTTTGTCCAGCCACTTGAACCGTTCCTTCAGACAGTATCTTATCAAGCTGTGCTGTGATACAGATTTAGACCACCGCCATCTATTGTCAAATGAAACTCTATCACGGATGGAAGAAACAGTAGATTTGGCCTTGGAATTGTTGAGTTTCACTATAGTCCAGTCAGAGAAAATGAGCTTGAAGAGAGCCATTAAGTCCAAGCCAATAGCACCGATTAGCAAAGTGTAGGTAACAGCAACATCAATTCTATGGATTTGGTGGTCTTTATGAATGGATGCAAATTGTATGAAGGATGCCGCTATCAGAGTAGAACATATGAGGCGGAAAAAGTATCCGATCTTATGATGCACCACTGCCATCTTGGTGTAGAGCACATCATACATCAAATTGAGCTCAACTTCCATCACTTTAAAAGCATCTTTATAATGCCTTTGAAAGAAGAATTTTCGACTGTCATTGCGCTCCTGGAAGCTAAACATGAGGTCAACAATAAGTCCCTTAAAAATTTTAAAGAAGTCGTGCCCACGATTCACTACCTGAATATCTTCGAGTTTTGGTTCTGGATCTGCAGTTATTCCTTCCTCTTCCTGTGTAGCAGTTCTGAAACCTTTTTCAGGTTCCTTTACTATTTCAATTTCAACAGGAACTTGGGCAGCTTCCTTTGATGAGTATTCCTCCATGAGCTGAGCATAGTTTGGTCCAGCATCTGGTTTTGGAAGCATGTTGTCCTTGAAATTACCCAAGCATGCTAGATATAGAGCACGGGTCCGCTCAGCATACTTAATAGTTCCAGCAATCATCAGGAGGACTGTTGGAATCCAGAATTGGTTAGAGAGAGATTGTGAGAAGACATAAAGAACTGCAACAAACTGGATGACAAGCCCAAGCAAATGTCGAATCCACAGTTCATTATCTTCAAGAGAGAAAGCAGTGATGGTATCAGGGCCACCAAGGTGTAGCAAAAGGAATGGAGCCCAAAAAGCTGCAACGTCATCATTTACCCTAACCTTGTCACAGTCATCCCCTTGCCCATTGGAGATGAGTCCAACAGCAAAGGCCGCAACCCAATCGGCAAGCAAATAAGCCGACCAGATCATCATGGTTACAATTCTGTGTCCAGTTCGTTTCCGTAATGTTGCAGAGAAAATTAACACTACCTGGAAGAAGAGACTGACAAGAACAGCACCACGGAGATTCCATTTATCCCATACACTCTTGACCCCGTGTGGAATGGTAAATTTCATTTTACTACTGATTTTTCGATATCTTTTTTAATTTGCTCCGTGCAGCTGCTCCTGATTAGTTGGAGAGAGACAAATTGCAACAAAGTATCAACAGTCTAAATGAAGGACCCAATATCTAAAATAAGTATAACTAAAAGGCAAATCTTGATTGGATAAAAAAATAGGAGTAAAATGATGCAGTTTAGATTAGAGCAACAAAATTCATTGTCAATTATGTAGTGCAAATTGCAAATGTCTTGTTCAATCCAAAGAACAGTACAAATAAATGAAAGGAATTAACTAATTATCATTGTCATCCTTGCCTTAATCTCATATGAAGGAGTCGGCCTATGAAAGGAACTAACGAAAATCAAAATGACAATCTATTTTTACTTGAATTACTCCAACCCGGACAATGAAATTGCACCTCCAAATATTATCTAAGAATCTCAATGGGGCAATTCAATAACCCCATAAACCCCAAATGAACTTCAAAATCACCCTAAACGAAACTGGGAATTTTTTTCTTTCTTTCTTTCTTTCGTTCTTTCTTTTAATTGAAAATGCTGTTGTTTCTCCATGGGACCAAAACCAATTTGCAACATATCAGTAAATTAGTAACAAAATAAGGTAGGTTAAGAAACAAGATAGTGCTTTGTGGATGTCCTGCATTCACTTTGCAAATAAAGTGCTGTTTGCTTTGCAAAAAAATCGAAGTAATATTTTGATCTCAGAAGCAAATCAGTAGCAGTGCAATTTTTCAGTAGTTGCATCACTGCTTGATCATGAGATAATCAGTGTCACGGTTCCCCTCAGGCACTTGAATAGTATTAAGTTTCTATATTATCATTTTAATCCCTTTAGACAGCATAGTAATTTAAGTAACACAAGATTATAATAAGGAAAAACAAAAACAAAAAAAAAAAAAAAACTAAAATTCAGGAAAAATCACAGATAAATCCAAGTTTGTTGGAAGAACTTGTTTATGTTATGTTACTAAAAATAAATAAATAAATTGTTAAAGTTTATCAACGGGCCATTAGCCCAAAGGGTTAACCTCTCCTCCCTCAAAGAGGTGGTGAGGGGTTTGAGGCCAGTAGGTCAATTTGTGAAGTGTGCGTACCCTATGAAAAATAAAAATAAAAATAAAATAAAAACAAAAACTTCAAGATTTCCTAGTTAAAGGGTGAGCCAGATTACCCAGAATTGATACACCCACGATCAATGGCCAACACAATGACAGATCAGAGTAACTAAATTAAGATGAAATAAAGCTAGTTTTCAAGCATTTCTTTGAAATGTACTGACAAAACAAGAATGCATACCCAATTATAGCATACAAATATTCACAAGGCGAAGATATACCTGTGTTTTTTCTTCCTCCTGCTTCTTCTTGCTCTCCTCCTTTTACTTCTTGATGTAAGTTAGTGTGTATATAGATATTCCTTTATATAATGAGGTTTTAGATGAACAAAAAAGAAGGGGCTCAGAAAGTTACTGAAACCTTCCTTCACATTGCTCAAAGTATTCGTCAAGTCAATATATATATATTCTTTTATGTGAAGGTCGTCGCGTCAAGTCGTTAAGCAATTTGGATTTATTTTATTATTATCATCTTGTGTATTTCCTTTTATCTTTCACGCGATTTAAGAGAGACGAAACACCACGCGTGTGGTACGAGCAGGGTGTCAAAATGGGTCCTGACCTACCCCTGTCTGTATTCGTTTGTTTAAAAATAGGGAAAATTACATATAAATGGAGTCAAAGTTCTATATTTACTTAGAGAATGAGTCAAAATTCCATATTTCTCTAAAATGGATTGCTGAGGTGGCACATGATTTTCTACTGTTTAAAAAATTGTGGTGCCTAAAATGCCCTTCCCTAACAAAAAAGTAGTACCTTCAGTTCAAAAAAGTAGTACCTTCGGAGAAAAAGTAGTACCTTCGCGGGTGTTTAAAAAACATGGTACCTGGACGCCAAAAAGTAGTACCTTCAGTTCAAAAAAGTAGTACCTTCGAAGAAAAAGTAGTACCTTCGCGGAAGGGTATTTTAGGCACCACAATTTCTAAACAGTAAAAAACCATGTGCCACCTCAGCAATCCATTTTAGAGAAATATGGAACTTTGACTCAGCCTCTAAGTAAATATGGAACTTTGACTCCATTTATATGTAATTTTCCCTTAAAAATAGATATGAATAAACCATTTTAAAATATAGGTTAAAGAGTGATTTAAAAATAGATATGAATAAATTATTTTAAAATATAGGTTAAAATGAGTGATTTATGTTCAATTTATTTTTATAGAGGGTTGAATATGGGTCACCCATTTTAACTCATATTTCATCCATTATAAGAGATAATTTTTTATCATCTATTTGACTTAAATTCACCTCTTCTTCTTCTCTAAAATTCTCTCACACAATCCCAAATTTTCTCTCTCATCACCCTCTTTCTAAAATTCTCTTTAACATTCTCTCTCATCACCCTCTTTCTCTCTCTAAAATTCTTTGTAGTATTATAAGATTGCTCTGCTACATCCACAACATATGTACAACATATTTATGTGTATTATATATACATGAATACCAGATTTATTTATTTAATTATTTATTCTATAAAAAGCTTAATAAATGATTTCACCAACCCATTTTCAGAAAGAGAAATGTTATTATTTTGAATAATATCATTATTATAGTTTTTTTTAGATGGATAAAAATTTAATTTATTTTGAAAATTCTTTAAATTTATATTATTTTATTTTACGACTAAAAAAAATTATAATAATGATATTATCCAAAATAATAACTATTTTTCTTTCTGAAAATAGGTTGGTGGGTCATGATGAGTTGACCTGATCAATTTTGACCCAACACATATTTAACTCATTACAAATGAGTAATGAGTTGAATATGGATTACAACCAAACTAATTTTGACACGTCCAAACCTGACCCAAACCGCAGGCCACCCCTACATACGATATAGAATTATCAATCTCTTTTTTAGGACTGCCTTGTATTCAGACATTGATAATTTCAATACATTAGTTTAATGTGTGTGCATTTGTACATATATAATGCCCTGATTTGACTAATTCGGCCATTTTTCTTTAATTTTTTTTTTTTTTTTTTTTTTAAGAATCCTCAACCATAGAGGAGTCAGAGAAACGGAGTAGAATACAGTGACGAGTCTAACCCTCAAAATTGAGTAGGAATCACCAATTCTGAGAAGTTTTTGTACTGATTTTATTGGGAACTTGCTCTAAAAAAGGTGCATTTCACTTCCTGTGTAAGTAATTTCAGATTACCAAACATCTGAACACATTTTTTCCAATCAACCAGCAATAGAAGACGGTAAAACTCCACTCCTGAATGATCTAGCCAGCAAGAATGATATACAACAACAATATAGTGATCAATGCTACAAGTTCCATTTTCCAAAAGTTTACAACAAAATCACAGTTGCTAAATAGCAAGTGTCAATTCTTTAAATTTTGAATTTCATTTAAAGCGTTCCTCCACTCGTTAATGTCATAGATTCCCATCAATTTCTCAGCCTCAGTGATAATAGTACCTGGCAAACCACCACATTCTTTGACAATCATCTTTGCAATGCTCAATAATTCCGGGGCAAGTGGGCTGTTGGGCTGAAGTTTTTCCATGAACAACATCTCTGCTTCTTCATCTTGTAGAGGCTCCATTGTGATGGTATTAGTATCCCGGCCGCCCATCCTTCGACACACCTCTGATGAACGAGTAGTTACAATCAGTTTGCATACATCCCTTTCAGTCGGGATTCCTACCTCAATTAGGGAAACTTGTTTCCGAACATCGTCTAATATGAGCACGCTTTTCTTTCTATCTTTAAGCGCTCTGTGTAACCTGGCTGCCCTTTTCATTTTATCCCTCTCGTTCGAAACATCAATTCCTACTTCTTTTGCAATGTCATTCTGCAATTCATGAATGTCACACTCTCGTGATACAGTCACCCAATAAACATATTTAAAAGTACTGTTATCTTCCAATAGTCGATTCTGTACATGTGACATGATGAATGTTTTTCCAACTCCTGCTACTCCAACAACAACAATCCTTAATACCTGCTCATCCATCAAGCTTTCCCAAACATTTTCCAGATGTCTTTTTGGTGTAACATCACCCACCAATGGTGTTGTCAACAATTCCACCCGCCTGCTCTGAGGTGCTTCAATTAGAAGACCCTCGGGAAATCTTCCTTGCTTGGAAAGCCCTTCTACCTCTCGTATATGCTTTTCCACACGACCTCCGAACCATATGTAGGAGAAAAAATTACCTCTTTGAAATTCCCCAGAAATGTTTTCCACTTCTGCTTTTTCAGCTTGTACATTCCCCAACCAATTCCTAACTTCTTCCTTTCCTTGATATCCTGTTTGGGGCACTGTATTTTCCACTTCTGTTCTAACATCATACTCCCGACAGCCCAAGGCCACCATCTTTGCTTCAAGAGCTTGCACCTTTTCAGTAAGGTGATTGTGATAATATAGCCACTCAGGACACTCATTAACGAATGTCCATACATTCTTGAGAAGTTCGATTTTGTTCCATAGTGACGCCGCGAACTCTACTTTCAGAATAACAGTACCTATTGCCAAAGTCAACAGTTCCATCCACATTGCATTACCTAATACAAAAAATAACAAATTTTCGATATCAGCAATCTGACCACCTCATCCTCGTGTATATAGGAAGAAAAATAAATTTATAAACAACCCATATTCTACCACAAGAAGAGGAAATTAAAGCAAGTATATAAAATAAATTATCCATGAAGTAACATGAATAACAATGAAAGAGCTTCCAATGGACTGCATTCAAATAGATGCATCGATGATAGAAGATTATGCTGCTAGGAAAATATATATCAATATTCATATATACATGAAAAAGAATAAGCAAAGATGTGATTTAAAGCACAAAGCATATCCTTGCAGTTAATAGTTTTATAGTTCAATTTGGTCTAAAATTGACATTGCACTTTATTTTTAGAGCAAGTGAAAATTTTAGTACAGGGAAAATAAGAGATATACAATAAAAATCAAAATACGCTCTCGGTTGAAGAAGATTCACATTGCACCTCTTTAGTAACACTTTTGAAGAAAAATGGGCATATTCATTGTTTAGAAATAAATAGCAGAATTATCAAAATACCTGGCTTTTCCAATCAACTCCAAAAGCATTAAATGGAGGTTATCTATTTGAACTTGTTCGGGATTACAAACTTTAGATCTAGTTCAAAGATTCCTATGTCTTTCATGTGTTTTTACAACAAAAATCCTAGAAATATGCATATAACCCACATGAAGCAAATGAAATTAGAACACTTGATAATCATTCTAAACAAAAAGAAAAACAAGAGAACGAAAAAAAAAAAAAAGGAAAGAAAAAGAATTAAAACCAAATATTCTTAAAAATTCATAAGATAAAATATGGGACCTTATATCCAATATAAATGTTTGTTTTTAACATGTGATGACCTCCTCCCACCATATCTACAACAAGCTTTCAATGAAACACTAACTTATTATCAGGGATGGACCCAAAGTATGTGAGAGGGGCGGGTTTTAACAAAAAATGTTGTGGGGGCAATAGTGAATTTTTTTTTATAATTTCAGCGGGGGAATTGGCCCCCACAGACCTAATGGGTGCTTATTAATTTATTATCCATCTTATTTTCATCACTTTTATTTTGTAATGAGCTAGAGTTGACTAGATATGATAAAAACTACAAGAGTGAATTAAATGGACAGAAGAAAATCTAAAAGAATTTAGGGTTGTGTCATGTATCACGTTGTGTGCCCAATGGAGACAATTCCTTGACAGATCACTGAATTAGCAGCATAAATTCCAGAATAACATAATTGACAACAAATAACATGAAAACTTTATAGCTAATTAGCTTATTATCCAAGTTTTCACAGTAGAACTAGAGAGATCTAAGAAAGGACAAAGAAGAGAGAAAAATCTAAGGGCTAGTGTCTGTATCAGTATCATATAAACGGAGAGAAGAGGCAACACAATCGAAAAGAAAACCAGCAAACACTCATGCACATACACACAAGCACATAAGGACTTTCACTTTCATTTGTGCATAATATCCTAACTCATTAACCTAATAACTCATTAAAGACTGATATAGAAGGCCTTGTCTCCGATCAATGTGGAATAAGTACAAAAATGTATGAGACTAATTACTACTATAATATAACATGTCAAGCAATAACAGCGAGAAAGGAATGCTGTTGATATTTTCAAATATTTAATACCAAAAGAAAAATAATAATAATAATTAACAAAACCAAGCAAGTAATGGAGTAATGATGAGGAAGAGCTTAACATGTTCAATTGATAGGTTTCAATTTATTCTATTACATCAAAACTGACATTCTTCATTTCATTCCATAATGATTTAATAGCAATTCCAACTTAACAGACAAACTAAATTAGGCAAGTAGATCAAAATTCTTTAGTTGTTTTTAAGATCCAATTCTTCTGATTACCCATATATCAAGTAAGCCAAGGTTTTTTCCCATTCTCTTTAAATTTGTAAGCCCTAATTAAAAATAGTTTAAAATCATAATTTTAGCTAATATTATCAACATCCTCAAAGAAATGACCTTTTTTCTTATATCAATACAAGAAATTTATACCCACAATTTTTATTTTGCAAGTTCTCAATTCAAAACTGACAAAAGTATTGATTCAAAAATTGAATTCTCACTTTCTTTCACAAGAAGGTTCAAACTAAAAACTGTCCAACGGTCAACTAATCGATCTCTTATAAATTTCTCCTACAGAAACAGAAATATTAAACAGAAGAAGCAAGCAACTCAAATAATTAATGTAGTACTGATATATACATAAATGTGACGAGAAAACAAAACAGAATTTTCAGACACAAGACTAAAAACACTAAAGCAATCAGAGAAAATTAATAAAGTTCAATGTCCAAAATTTCGGGAGGACAAAGATAGTGTGTACCTGAGAAAAGCGGATTTGGTATATCGAATGAAAAAATGGAGCGACTAAGCTCAAAAAACATACCATACTGTATTTAAACAAAAAAGAAAAGAAAAAAGAAGACCAGATTGGGTTGACTTCTAAAGTCTTTCTTGGATGGTGCATGGAAAATGACTTATAAGTCCTTCTAAATTTCGGGTCTCGTTTCCTCTGATTTCCATTAAGTGTGCAAATATGACTTGCACCATTGGGTAATAGGCTTGAGAAAGGACTGTAGTGGATTTTTTTTTTTTTTTTTTAAATGCATTATGAATGGAGATTGATATATAATATATATATATATATATAAATTAGTTGGTAGGCTGATTTTTCAAGTGGGTTCAACTAATATAATGAATGCAAAAAAAAAATTATATATATATATATATATATTGATATTTGAGGTGTAAGTTGAAGGCTTTTTTTACCATTAGATATATTACAAGTAGGATGTTCAGAAAATTGGCTTAATAAGTCGGCACGCATAGCATTTAGCCATTTAAGATAAATAGTAAATAAAGTGCTAGAAAGTTAATTATTTGTACAAAAAAATAATTATTGTAAAGAAAATGAATATGCATGATTATTTTCTTGAAGAAATGGACTGGAGATGCACAAGGATTGGTGCAATACTGCAATGTGTTTTTTTCTTATGATTTGCATGGTGAAAGGAAAGAGTGAAGCTCTCTCCCTCCATGCCAATGCCATATATTCCCTCACTTTTAACTTATTTTCTTATATATATATATATATATATATATATATATCTTTTAAACAAAATTTTCCTTTTTATTATTTAGCTTATGATGTTGAAATGTTTCATAGCTTGAGCTTATCCAATTTGAGAGAGGTTAATTCAAATCTAAAATTGTAAAATCGAAAGAATTATCATTTCACATCACTATCGTTCGATTAAGTTGCGACTAATACTGGGAAGGAAAAAAAAAGAAAAAAAAGGTATTGGACTAATACAGGCCTATCTTGAATTTTCAGGTTATGGGCTTGACTTAAATTTAGATGGCTTAGACGTTTGGATTTTGTCAACCATTCCTCTGGGCTGCTGTCCAATAGTCCATAGCCGACTCCAGTCCATTGCACTTGACATGGCTTTTCAGGAAAAATCCTGCGAACCAGTCCCTTGAAGACTTTTCCCTCGACATAAAAGTGAGTAAAAAGACAATTTGGCGTGTTAATATATCCGTGTAGTGTGATATTCTTATCTCATATTCGTGTTCATAGTAGTGTTAAAGAAAGGAATGAAATGACTAATCTATCTTTATAGAAGGGAACGAGGAAAGAAGTGTTAAATTAAATTAGAGGGGAGGAGGAGAGCAATTGGGGCATGATAAATTATTTTTTTAATGATGCAACAAAAAAACATTTCTGACCATTTTGACCCTTACACGAAGGGAGAGAAGATGTGTGGCAAAAAAAGCAGAAAGACTGACTGAAGATATACAAATTCGAGAAAATCTAATTTGATTCAAACAAACTTGGCAGAGATTAAATAAATTTTACCCTATAAAATTTGACTATATAATCATCATATTATTATCATTTAAATGGTAACGTGGCTCTCAAAATTTGTACATAAAATAAAAAGGAAGAGACCATGAGTGTTACAATGAGGTGCACCTCGTTATAACTTTTCTCAAACATTGTTTTTGTCGTACAAGATGCCGGAGGCCACAAATCAATCTATCTGTTAACGACTGGCTTGCATAGTTGCATTCAGACATTGATGATTTCAATACATTAATTTAATACATATATTTATATATAGACTGTCCCTAATTTGACCCTATTATATTTACTAACTCATACAAATTCAGAAGAGATTAGTTAATGCAAGTCAACGAAATGGTCCATCTTAGGATATCAACCGTTTAGGTAGTCTTTTAGTACCCAGCACATGCTATTCTGATTTCTTCATATTTGCTCATTCAATTGTCGGTTACGTATACACATGAACTCAATCCTAACGACTCAAAATCAAATAAAACCAATATACAAACCCTTTGGTTGGTGTTGTGGCAAAACATATACTTATATAACATGTCTAATTACATGTCTTTCAAGGTTCAAATACCCTGAAAATGGAAAGTTTCAATAAATTCGATTAATTTTATATGAGTATGGTTGATGTTATTTTGACGTTTTGAATATTAATAACTTTATGATGTTGTCAACTATCATTCTGATAAATCAGTTGAAATTATTCGACTTTCGAACTCTAATGGCACATTTGGGATATTGTTTTAATCCGAAACAAAATAAATATTTTGAATAATAATCAAGAACATGTTTAGAAACATCCATAATATGAAAACACATCCTGTTTAAAAAAGTATTACAAATTTAAAAAATATAATGACTAGTTTAAAAATATCATTTAAGAATTTTTTTTTAAAAAAAAAGGTATACCATTCATCATTTAAAATATCAAACCTTACCGTGCAGAAACATATAAAAACACCAAATTGGTGTTCTGATTTTTTATCAAACATTTTGGCAAACAGTAGTTACTAAATGCATATTTTTAACTGTTCATTACTACTATACCCGATAAAAACAAATCGTGTAATACACCGACCCTAAATAACTATCTTTCAAATAGATGCTTACAAGGACACTTGTGATGTTAAGTGTTAAGATGGAACTAGTTAGCCAACTAAGCGGACAAAAATGGCAAATGTGATTGGATGGTGAGAAAGATTGATGTCAAGTTGGAAACAAGTACAGAATCAAAACATTTTGAAGCAATTCTATGTCATTAGAAGTAAAAGTCCACAAACCCCATTAATTTTCTTTAAATTAGATTAGACCTAGTCGTCTTCAATTTGATGCTACCTATGCGATTTGTGCGCACCGTCAAAGCGGCCAAAGTCGTGCCTGCATCACCCGGCGGACCCATTCATCCTTTACCGCGTCTTCCTCCTCTGGCAGGCACCAACTTACTTTCATTTGAAAATCAAGCATATTCTTTCATTAGTTTCTAACTAACAATTCCATTAGCACCATTTCACAAAAGTGCCCTTTGCTTATATGACCAAAACACCCTTCTAATAGGAAGCCCCAATTCAAAAGAGGAGGGGGTAGATTCGTCATTAGAACACAAGCGTGTTGACAAAAGTGACCGTCTGTGAAGATTATTAATGCTTTAATTTAATCAAAGTCAAGGCTAGTTATGTAACTGGACGGAGGAGAGGAGGTCCATCCATGCAGTGGAAAATTTCAAAAGTGATTTAAATGATGAAAACGACCAATTCAGTGCAGTGTTAAGAAAAGAAAAAATATATATATATATATAAGAAAAAAGAAAAGAAAAGAGAGATGGTTTGTTCAAACACCGGTCGGGTTTAATATATATTACAATTAATAGACAATCCCTTGATTTGCGGAGATTGTCCATCACACTTTGGTAACTTTCAAAATCAAAGGACCATCTTTCTTGGTTTCAAAAAAGTTTTTATGTTTTTATTATTGTGTTTGGTTTTTGAATAATATTTTGAAAGTGAAATGTCATGTGAGCCCATTAAGGACTTGTCACAATTTCACAAATGCTTAGAATTGCAAACTCCAACCATGTTCTTGGAAAAATTGATTTTTCATTTATCCCAACAAAAATAATGAAATGGTGTTCTTTTAATGGTTGGACATGCGCCTCATAGATACTTGGAGAGAAAATTACACACACTATCTGTTATTGTGATATTAAAAGCCTAAAAGCCTATTTGTTGCTATTTAGGAATGGGGGAGGGGGTAGATCCATCCGTGACTATATGTGTTTGTCGAATATAAATTGTGACAAACAAAAATATACTAGAAAGTACACATTTTTTTAGGTTTGCGTTGTTCGAAAAATTATTAGATAGTTTTAGTCTATTTGATACTTAGTAGACTAATCCACTGTACACTCTTGTGGAGTTATTTTTTCAATCAAAAAATTTGGATTTAAGTGATGTACCAAGAGACACATTTGACAACAGTTAAGAATATATTGGAATTTGAAAATTTTTCCTTAATTAGTCTCATTAGACATGGCTTGGACATGAACAGACATGTTTAAGATACTTTTAGAACATAACAATATAGGATTTATAGGTATAAATGAAAGATTTAGTAGTATTAAAATGAAAAAAAATAAAATAAAATTTAAATTTAAAAGTAGGACTTCTTTAGTTTTAAAGAAAAAATTTAGAATTAATTTGTCTTTCAATGTAAAAAGTAGGAATTGGAAGTAAATTTTATTTTTAATAATTATTATAATAATAATAAGGGTTGAAATTGCAAGTAATTGTTGTATTTTCAGAATGGTTTTAAGGAACTTTAGTGAAAAATTCTGTATCTCCACCAGACAGATCTAACCATTGGTTTTCTAATGTCATCACTCATCAATAACCCACAAGGAATAAATGGAAACTTCAAAGCTCAAAGCCCACTTATTCGCCAAGCCATTGGTTTTTTTGATACTTTTTTATTTAGGTAGTTTAAATTCCACTTAAGACCCAATTTAATCTAATTAAAGAAAGCTTACCAAATTCACCGAACTTTAGATTTTTTCTTCTACCATATACTCCGTATACCATAGCAGAACTGCCAAACACACTCTCTCTCTCTCCACATTCTCTTACATTCTCTCTCTCTACATATATATATATATACATCTTTCAATAATTCTCTCACACTCGGCCACTCTCCACCGGTGGATAGAGAAAACTCCGAAAAAGTATTGTTTTGCTGGGAATCCAGTTTGGAGCTTTTCTCGCCGGAGATTCTACACATAATATGGAGAACTTTAATGCGCTTTATCTACCATAAAACACCACACCACCACTTGGTTTTCTCTCTCCAAGAATCATATCAAAACCGCGTGAACGTACCAAATAATGAATGAGATCATCATCGTCGTCGTCTCTCTCTCTCTCTCTTTCCGTTACTTCTTCTGAACAACTGTTGATTTTCGAGAAAACTGGCATGTTATGAGCCATATGGTCTTCCGTTCTCACCACGGCGGTGTTCTTATTGTAGCGTGATTTGGATGCTACTTTTTTCTATCAATCTGCTCCACTTTCCATCATCTTGTCTCTCTATGATTCCGATGTATTCTCTGCATTCACGGATCTGATGTATCGTAACTCATAGCACTCCACACTCGTCGTCACTGGTATGTTTATGTTTTCTATTTTATCAGTATTCTTTTGTACTTCCACTTACTGGCAAATTTCAAAATCAAAATTTTCTTTTTTCCCAACTTTCCAATTAGATCTCATACCGTGCTCTATTTGGTTGCTGAGAAACTGAAACCAAAATTAGTACTGTTTTTTCTTCAGTATATTCAGGGGAAAGTTAGTACTTGGCTCTGTTTCTGCGCAGAGAGAACTGTTTACTGACGGCTAAGTTTTTTGAAATTGCAGATTTTTGTTTCATCAAAAAGCGGATCATTCTTCAAAATCTTCAAGTATTCAGTAACTCAAAGATTGTGTGAAGATTTTTTTTTGCTACGTGAACGTTTTAAGTGCAAGTGTGTTACAATCTCTCTCTCTCAAATCTTCGATTTGTTACTTAAATTTCTCAATATCAACTTCAATTTCTTCTAAATTTGAACTTGTACTAGATCTTAGTGTGTTCTTATTGGTTTATGTATTTTGAATGCAGGATTTGGAGTCGATCAGAAGCAAAAGTCGAACTCCGGCACTTCCGAGCTTGAACTCTGTTCTCAGATCAGATATTTTCAGTCGAAAAAAATGGGGAAAACAGGGAGAGATTGGACACAGATCTACGCAATCTACGGAATGGATGATTGGCACACTCCAATCTTCCTCCTAATGTACGCGATCACCTTCTCCTCTCTCTCCGTACTCTTCCTCCTGTACTTCGGCCCAATCTGCGCCTTCGTCGAGTCTTTCTTCCCCTCCCTCCCCGGCGGAGCCTCCCGCTTCGCCGCCGGATTCACCGGCTCCGTCACCGCGCTCTCCGCCGTCTGCCTCTTCTTCGCAGCCGGCAACATCTTCTACTCCTCCGTCTCCCTCCAGTGGGAAATGGCGCAGCGCATGGTCGGCGTGGTCAACGACTGGTCCACGGTCAAGCACGCCCTGGACGTGGGCTGCGGCCGCGGCATCCTCCTCAATGCGGTGGCGATGCAGCTGAAGAAGGAAGGCAGTTCGGGTCGGGTCGTCGGGCTCGACCGCAGGAAAACCACGGTCTCAACACTGCGGACGGCCGGGATTGAAGGAGTACAGGAGTACGTCACGTGCCGGGAGGGTGACGCGCGTAGGCTCCCGTTCTCGGACAACTACTTCGACGTGGTGGTGTCGTCGATGTTCCTCCACACGGTGGGGAAGGAGTTCGGTCATCGGACGGTGGAGGCGGCGGCGGAGAGGATGAGGGTGTTGGGTGAGATGGCGAGGGTGTTGAAGCCCGGCGGGGTCGGGGTGGTGTGGGACCTAGTGCACGTGCCGGAATACGTGAAGAGGTTGCAAGAATTGAGGATGGAGGATGTGAGAGTGTCGGAGCGTGTAACGGCGTTCATGGTGAGCAGTCACATAGTATCATTCCGGAAGCCCAGTCAGCACATGGTGGGCCCATGGGAAGTCAGATTGGACTGGAGATGCCACAACATCTGTGGAGAGTGAAAAAGACTCATATTTAACTCAATATGGGGATAATATAGTGATTATACTAATTTTTTTTTTTTTTTTTTAAATCTGAAATGTTGAAATCTGGGGAGACGAAGCCGAACCAGATGCTTTGTTTGATAGATTAAGATCACAATATATATTATATATTAATATATATATATATACTGATGGTGTTAATAAAAAGCTTTGAAGTAGCAGTAATGGATTAATAATAATATGATGTTATGAAAATTGTATTTATTAGGAGAAACAGTGATTATTATTATTATTATTTAGGATGTATGAAATTATGGAATTAACAAGTGAGGGGTTTAAATCATGGACCTCAAAGGTACAGTTTGGTTGTTGAGAAGTCGCAATCCTAATACATCTTTGATGGAAGCAACCACAGTGAAGTGGGGAAAATGTTAGCTTTGGGAATTAAATTCTGAGCCAGAGATTTATTTATGTTTTTTTTAAAATTTTTTTTTTTTTTTTTCCAACAAAGATTTATTAGATCATCTCTTTGTTATGTGGCTTTTCAAATTGTAGAATATAGGATTGGATTTTAATTGACATCACCCACCATCTTCAAGAGGAAGCAAAAAGAAGCCCAAACAATTGCAAAAAGAAGCCCAAACAATGGAAGAAGCAATGAGAGAGAAATCGTACTTTATATTTATATATATAGTAATGCAACAAATCACATTTTTTTTTTTTTTGGTGCGAACAAAAATGGATCAGATTTTTATTATTTTGCATTTAGAATATATATATGAAAAACGTTACAAGTGGATCCTTGTGATGAACACTCTTGAGTGATTCTTTGTAACATTAATCCTTTTGAAATCCATTCAAAGTGTGTAAAATGTCCCGGAATTGGCTGAATGAGCTCTTGATAAAAAAATAAAAATAAAAATAAAAATAAAAACCTACATGAGGGATTTGATTGGTAAAACAGTACTACTAATTCTGTTAGTAAGCTTAAATAACCAACACTATAGTATCCACATTGAATAATTATTTTCTATTATTAAACAAAATATGACATGTTTTTTAGCTAGTGTTTACTATATAATTTGGTACCATGCGTTACACAAAAATTTCTCCCATTTTAATTAGGAGTTGACAATGATTTGAATTGTGACCATGGAGGAAAATTAGGTTTTATGAGTATCAATCAGTTGAATAAATTATAGGGTTTGGTTGTTGAGGGGTTGGCATCCCACAAATCTTGAAAGAGACACGGTTGGGAGAATGAATGAGCATGTTGGGGAATAAGTCACCATGCATTTACAATATATATATATGCAGGACAGTATTTAGATCCTCCTGACACGCTATTAGGCTAAGTAATGGTCTTACTGGTTTATTATCGAAAGTGAAAACATGAATTTCAAGAAATTACTAGTCATTTAAGGGTGGATTTAGTTTCTAACTTATTTATATCTTGGCATTTCATCCGGTGTGTGAATGAGAATTAGTGCTACCTTCAAAGAGATGGTGAAGACACCATCACTTTCGAGTGTGTGTAATTTTGGGTGGGTGGGTATTTGGTTTATTGACTGGATGAACTCGAAATATAGTGAGTCTGCAAAGTGGTTTGTAAGCAAATGGTCTTGGACTAAGAAATCTGAAAAAACTAGTGCAACTTGAGCGGATTGGACTTGTAAATATGCAATTAAAAACCTTCACATTGTGAGAATTGTCAACTTTTAGTAACTATGAGCGCTGAAGATTTGGCAAAGGTGTACTTTAAAATCCATATTGACGGCGAGTCTCCAAACAGTGTCTTTATCACTATAAAATGTTTGATTATATACCAAAAATTTCGCATTTGTTACATCAAGGTCCCATGGTCTAGTGGTTAGGACATTGGACTCTGAATCCAGTAACCCGAGTTCAAATCTCGGTGGGACCTTTTTTTATGTTTATTTCCACTGTTGACTTCTGTCGGACATGGCTCCCTTTTTCTCTATTGACGTCAAAGTCAACAAATCACAATTCTAATCATTCAAACCAAACTTCACTCAAATACCTCATATGTCAACAAGAGACTACGGAAGGAAACTTCTTCGACATTATATGTTTATCTTGAGGGCATATGTATTATGTACGGAAGATGAGCACTAAGATTTTCAACTCTCGCGGCCACGGCCAACCTAACCACTCTCGGATTGTTGGTACACCTACAAATTATATATTTATATATATTACATAGAAGAAAAAATATCGAAAAAATTATTACATGATTCAAGACTATTTAGTACTAGTCAATCACAACTCGATGTGTAAGCAAAAAATAAAATAAAGGTAACACATTTGCTTGAATCTCCAGATTGACTAGGATTATGTAAAAATTTCTTATGCGTGAGCTCAAATTGGCTTGCCTTTCTCGTTTCCCAATCTGAAAAACTGGTCGAGCCCCAGCCAGAACATCAGGCAGTTTATGAAATATATTCTGCTCGGTAAGCGAGAGCAACCCAAGAAAGGAAAATAATAATATTGTTATTATTATAATAATAAGAGTCGATCAAAATTCCAAGAGCTATAGAAAGAATCACCAACTCAATTTAACTTTCAAAAAAAAAACTCTAGGGGCAATGTAATTGTAAGCATAATGTGTTAATACAAGTAAAACAAAACGAAGAAAACATAGAAATCATTGAATAAAGGAGAATTCAAGCCACAAAATTTACAAGCACAAGGATGCCTTTGTCTAACATCACAATATTACAAGGAACAACAACGTAGCACTTCAGCAGCATTTACAAATAAATTTTTTTGAAAGAAAATTGTTAGTATTTTTTCAGTCTACACAATTGTACTAGTCCAGAAGTCCATTCTGCAAGAGCCAAGAGATTACACAACAGCCGCATAGTTTAGCACTCTAAGAACCACCAACCCGAATTAAATTCAAAACCCAGTTTCTTAATTTTCAATTATGGAAAAAGTACAGATTTACAAATTTCTTAGATGATCAAAATTGGCTACCTGAAATATACCTCTATACCTATAACTTCTTATGGAATGGGAAACCAAGTCCACCTGTAAAGTGTGTTAAATCAAAGATGGCCTCAAGTATATCACGCTGGTATGCAGAAAGAGGAGCTGAGAGCTGGAGGCATGACACAGACCAAATGAGGTCCGGGAGGGTTGCAACTTATATTTGCATCATCCACATTGGCCAGGCCCAGTTGAGGAGGACGAACATATCCCGCCACCAGCGGCACACATAATATTGAAATGACTATCCTTGAACCTGTCATATTATGAGAGATTTTCAGGATGATGTAGAAGAAAATATATCATACTATGGTTGGTTCGAAAAAAGATGTCAACTTAATTTCTTGAACAAAGACCCAAAAATAGATAAATTAAATTTTTTTAAAAAATTGAGATACCTTGCTTTGTGGAAATTGAAGCATGACCTCTTTTCCTTCCAGCAATCATCCAATTCTCAGAGTTTGCATTGACTTCATATAACACCTCATCCTGTTGCACGAGGAATAGAAAACAATACGCAGGATTGAAAAGATGTACACAGGAATTCCTTGAAGCTGCAATTTGCCTTAAAGAGGCACCACAAAGCTTACTTTACACAAGAAGTAGGATCTCAGACATTTCTTAAGATTTATACCTGATAAAACTTTGCATATTCTCGACAGAGGTTCAATTTGTTATTTTTTTCTCCCAGCATCTAGAGACTATGCCAAATAAATATAATTATTTTGATTGGCATTACGTAGTGTGGTTCCCAATAATTGAAGAAGGTGGAAGAGGCAGACTGGCTAAAAAGCCTAACTTTTAGCCTTATTTGAACAAAAGGTCTATTGCTCGATACAATGGTAAAAGATCAGTTGCCAAGCATGAGAATAAAAGTACTTTATTGCAAAGAGATGACATCAACTTAAGAATACTTCAGTCATTTCCCCGGGAAAAGGTTAAGTGTATATTATTTCATCAACCGTGTATTTTCATTTAGACGACTAAGGTGTTGTTTTGATAACTTAATTTACCATATTTAAGTGCTTATTCGACTTGATACCTTTGATAATGTGATCTAGATACCACTTATAATAATAGGTTAAGAGGCACTTAAAATGTAAGCCCTTAAAATTTAGCTCTTAAAATTTTCAATTTCATCAAACATCATCTAGGGAAACTTCCTTTCCATAATACGACACCAACTTGGATTGGGGTGAATGGACTCTTTCATGGTAAATATACAGTCTCAATTTGACAGGATAATACTCTTGTTAATCAAGATTGAAAAAAGAATTCCACAATCCAAAGTCTGACATTTTAGTTGGAGCATTTAAAAAGAAGGTAAAAGGTTATCATCACTTACATTGTTTTCAGGAACTTCATTTTCCTGAAAATCCTTTAACCTTTCAACTCTCCACTTCATGGTAACAAGCTGGCCAACTCTGAGACCACTTGAGGGAAGAGGAAGAAAACCAACCGCCATGCAAGGGTCCAGCACAGGCCGCTGCAAAACAAGAGCACTCCTAAAGATCAAAGAATTTGTAACATCCTCGGGTCTGATGGGATCCACAGCAACCGGGGTATGGGCTCCTAGGTTTCTATCACCAGCAATTCCATATCTGATGTTTAATATACTATCTGGATGCAACTCCTTTGCTTCATCTGTAAAACCAAGTGCAGTATTTTGCTTGCTTAAAATGTAACAGAGCATTTAAGACTTGTTGCAACAAGACAATTGATGAAGTAATTTAGTAATGGCCTTCGAGCAGAATGACAGATTAGGATTCATGTAGCTGACCCAAATAATTGGCAAAAAGTTTTGTTGAGTTGAGTTAGTTATTGTGATTAATGCATAACATTATCAGATTTTTTTTTTTCCCCAACTATTTCTACTCATTCCAAGCAACGAGATCAGGCTCTTCTTCAAGTATTGGTAGAAGATATATTAACACAAACTTTAAAATCCATGTCTCGACCTTCTACATTTCAATTTTTTAGTTACGATAAGTCCAATTTTTCTGCTGTGAATATCCATTATTTTTTCTTTTTAATTTTCCTTTTTTTGCGTTTTCATTCTCTTCAATTTACAGCTATCAATTCTGCTAAGTTTTACTTCCCTGAACCCCAAAATTATACAACTGACAACTAGAAACCAGATTAGACAAAAGAAGGGTGCTATTTCTAGGATTCAAATGATTGCAGTTGTCCCAACTTAGAGGGTTTTTAGTTACTCAAATGATTGCAGTTGGCCTTAAATCAAATGTCCAACAACTGTTTAACATGCAATATATATATATATTTTTTATAACTAACTTAACATACAATAGTATTGCCAAGAAGTTATGCATACATCTGTCTTACCCACCAAAAAGAAAGTACATCAAACTTTGACATATCAAGTATGAACATAAAAAAGAAGTTTGACCTGGAGGGAAGGAACTTAATGTCCATACTACTGTTGATGTTGCTGCTATTGTTGCGAAGTAAAGTTCTCAATGATTTTCTATAGTCTTTACTACCTATTACGTTATACTCGTATTCAGTTTATGCAGGTGTAAATTGCATCAAAGTTTCAAACTTCATGTAATGGAACTTTTGGGGGTTATAGATTATTTTTATTATTATATTTGCCATCACACTTTAAAATGTTTCTATAATGAACCAATTGTGTTCATTTTAGCTGCATCCGCTGTTGTTAAAACTGGGCTTTGACTTATATCAAAATTTTCTATGAATAAATCATAGAACAATTGACGGGCATTTTGTTCTAGTATAGTTTCTCATAAGTTCCATTCTCCTTGTCAATTATTTATAAATAAGTTATTTCATTTCTAATCAATTCTGAAATCAATTGACAGCAAATCTATTAATTGGATTAGATAGAAACAAAAATGCCATTCTAGTGACACAAAAAAATGGATTCATCAAATTCTTTGCATCAAGCCATCCAAATGCTGTGTTTCTGATACACCTCAAAATACTATTATTAAGTTAATTGTTCAACTCTTAAAGGATTTCTTAATACCTATGGTACAAAGGGCACTTCTTCTTAATCATAGTTAACATGTTTTTCAATAATTAAGCCCAGATTGGACACCTAAAATTGCATCCACCTTTATATATTTAGTATAAGGTGCAGAGAATTGTATGTGTTATGCAATCCTTTGCAAGACGTTTATTAAAATTGATGCTTTCTCCAGTAATTAAGGTTATACACACATGCACACATATAGAGGTTTGTGTCCACATCTCGAAGTTAGGAAAATTTTGACCAAAGCTGCACGTCCATATAAAATTAGAACACTTTCCATGTACTTATATAACTACGTGATAATCACTGTAAAACAACAAAACCAATTAGATATACCTTCAGCGATTGTAGTCCCCAAGCATAAACTGAACAGAATTCCAGTTTTCGATGTTGGGGAAACAAGAAGCGGAAAGTAGGCGGATGTTGGTCTCCCATCACCATGTTTAGTGTGAGAAAATCCATCTTGAAGATCCAGCCAAGTATCATATATGGTCAATGAAGCCTTCACTTGTGAGTGTAGTATCACCTGAAAGAGGCATGGACCAATCCAAGACTTCGGATGTAAGATGACCCAAATCATGAGGCACAAAAAAACAAAAAAAAAAATTGTGGATGCAAAGCTCTGAACTGTTAAACTCCACAGGACCATAAATTGCCACAGTAAATTAGGGCTTCCTCTTCTAACAATGTGTCTCAAAGGAAAAAATTATAAAATTAGATTCAAAATTTTGGCAATTTAACCTCAAACTATGCATGGCTCAAGAGGTAAGCGTCAGCTAAACCTAGATAGCTAGTTCATAAGTGACCCAGTTCATATTACATAGTGTAGCCTAAGAGATTTATGCTCAACACAATAGTTCATAGTGTAGCCTAAGAGATTTATGCTCAACACAATAGTTCACAAAGACCGATTAAAGTTACCTAGACATCATTGGGCTAGCCTGTGCCAAAGTAATATAATAAGCTGGCTCCAACAGTACACGATTGCACGATGCAGTCGAGATTATATTAGCGTGCAGATGAAATGCAAAACACTACTGAAAAGAATACCTGCAAAAGCAAAGTACCATCATTGCATTTGTCTGCAACACGTGTGCTCACATGGAAAGGATCAGTGAAATGCACAGCTATGGTCCTGTAAATCAATATCAAATGTGTCACATAAGTTTGGACAAAAATAAAATTAATCAAGCTGCATTGGAATCTAAAAGAAAAAATGAAAGAAAAAAATCCTGCCTTTCAAATGTCTGGTTGTGTGATACTCCAAATTCAAGTTTCAGAGCTATTGTTCTCAATCCATCTACAACACTCTGTCTTTGGGGAAACACTGCTCCTAAAACATAGTCACATACAATTAAGCAGTTGAACGCAACAAAAAATTTACACATCACATGCATGTATACATAGAAACCACCAAAAATTTATATCATTATTAACCTGTGGATGTTCCTCTAGCTAACTTGTCACTAATAGCACGCACTGGAATCCACAAAACAGAAGTTATATTGCTAGCCCAGTATGGCAATTCTATTCTACCATCCTGAAGAGTTAGCTGCTGTAATTCTTCAGTAACAGTAGAAGAGCCATCATTTTTAGCATCATCTGAGTAACCCAAGTCACCTGAAATATGTGATTCCTTGGCATACCTCTCCATTTCAATGATATATGACTCCTCGATCCTCAAACCTGGACCAGTGTCAATATGCAAGACAGCATCCCTAAGGGAGTAGTTAATTGGCTTTATAATTATTCCAACCCACTGAGGTTCATTCATTAGTAAAGCAGATGAAACAGCTGCAGCAAGATCAACCAGTGACCTTGGTTTGAACACCTGAATATGGAAATACCTTATTAGATGGTACAATGAATATGTAACTTGGTTCCTCAGAAAAAAAACTACTTCATAAGTCAAAATGCAGGCTGCAAGAAAAAATAGCAATCTGAAAGTATGCTAAGGATGCCAACTGTTGTTATTGTCTTAACATTCCATTTCATCTATTAAACAAAAGAAACAATACCTTTAAGATGGGTCTAGTTGGCTTCTCATAACTCATAAAATCATCACTATCTGCAGGTCCCCCTTTGGAAAAACTATGAGACCTAAATCTCAAGTGACCAATCTGCCCAGTAAGAACCCCCAAGACATAGGAACCCGGTTTCTGTGGGGGTAGGGAAAGGGTGATTGTGTTCCTGCCAGGCTTTAGTATAGTAGCTTCAGAGCTCCTTATTGTCTGAAAATAAGATATAATATCAAGCCATTAGGAATGCTAAAGACACATCACATAAATTGCTGAGTGCTAAATATATCGGTAACAACTTGTAACTAAGAAGAATACCTTAACACCTTCATCGGCATTATAAGTAGCATTCAGAGTGAGACTAAGCGATTCAAGAGTTATATCATCAGGAAAGCCACTCCACACAGTTACAGATAGGGTACCAGGATCCCCATCACATAGCTCCAAAGGTGGCCCAGGATTGCCAGAAAATGTGATCAATGAGGACACATCTAGGGGCACAGGGTGTTTCATTTCACTATGTGCAAGTTGAACAACTTCTGACTGAAAAGCTTGCCGTTCCTTGGTCAAGAACAAGCCTTTATCTAGGGAGAGCAACCTCACACAAGATGACAGGTAGCCAGCTTGATCATTAAGCATCTTCTGACACTCTGCTAAATTGGGAAGAACTTCTGCCAACAAATCCTGCCATCCTTCACCAGCATAAAGAGCGCATACCTTCTCATAGGATTTTGCAGCAAGATCATAATTCCCATGCTTATAGCAGACAGCTGCAATTTCACCATCAAGGACAACACCATGTCTTTTCCACCATGAACGATAAAAATTGTCAGCAGCGCCCTTTGATAGATCCAAATATTTTTCCTGACAAGAAAAAATCCAGGATTGCATAAAAATGAGAAAAAGAGAGAAACATTCAACAATCAATGTATTTAAAATTAACACAATACCCAAAAACCCAAGAGGATTCGAACCTTAGACCTGATGCTTCCTGAGGAACCAGGGCCAAGTTCTTACCCTTGGGGTTAACAATGAATTTTAGTTGTAACCCTCAGTTAAAGAGTACGTAAAGAACGGAAACTCCCAAATTTTTTGGGAAAATAAAATGATGCAGGATCTTCAATAAGAGGTAGTGATAGAAATTAATCCAGCACTTTTGAAACAATTTCACTTCCAAGAGAAACTAAATCTAATCTTAAACAACTGAGATTGGAATACAGAAGTATGTGTCAAATGTTAATAGTATTGTATCTTAAGCATTTTCTAAGAAGAAACTTAATATATTAGAGTCCGCTATTTTAAATACCTCAAACTCCTTTACAGAAGACAATGATTTCCATAGATCAGGATTAGAAATTGTGTTCCGCAGAGCATGTTCAGCAGCAACGTAGATCTCTGAAAGTCTCATTGGTCGATCTATTGAGCTCTCAAAGTTTCCTGGTGAAGAATTAGTCCTTGACATGGAAATCGTATTTATTTTAGGTGATGGGGACATCTTTAAGGATCCATCTGGACCTGAGCTGTCAGTATGTAACAACTGTATAAGAGCTCAAAAGAATTCACAGAATCCAACAACAAAAGAAGACAATTATAATTGGAAAACACAAAAAGGAAAGAAAAGTAGAAACCACGTTTTTCAAAAATACTTTCATAGAACACTTGTTGAGCAATTAAAAGAGAGAAATAGCTATAAGCCAGCTGTTTTGGTTGCTCCCATGGCAATTGGAAACAGCTCATTGGATATTCAAAGTTAAATCACTGGAAGCAACCAACTAGCTTGGGCAATAGCACTCTCCCTGTGAATTTATTCGAAGAACATATAGCGCTACATTTAATTTAATTCTTAAATTAACATTACCCATCAATAACAACTGAGCGACCATCAAACATTTCAAACAAATTCCCAGCAGAGAGAGAAGCCCTTCGGCGGTTAGCCTCACGCAAAAGTACAGATGGTTCTAGAGGTAATGGTTTCCTCTGAATACCAAAATGCTTGACCCTCGGATTTTCTTGAAGAATCAACTACACAATATCACAAACAATGAATACACGAAAAGTAGCCTTTTTAGTCAAAAATGAAACTTGAATTAGCATTGACTAAATAATTATTATAATGGTTATTGGAGCAGGGATTGCTGCTGAGAATGCCTCAACATTTTTTAAAACCACTTTGACATGTCAACTTAGATGTGAATATGTCAATTTTCTTGCAAAAAGTTAAAAAAACTACCGTGAAATACTTCACCTTTACAAGCTTACCTATAGACAAGAAAAAGAAAAAAGGAATGAAAAAAGAAAGACAAGAAAGAGAGAAAAATATATATATATATATATATATATATATCACACTTGATTTGACTTTCCTCAAACAAGCAATGCTCAGATAAGTAGTTTCAATTTTCAAAAGAAGAAGATGTTTAGAACATGGTACTCAGATAATTCCAATTTCCAGCATGCGGAACAAAGAATATCATGTAAGATACATATTTGTGAGTAACGTGAGACATTGATATATTTTCATGGGAGCTTCAGTCTGGACCAAATCAATGGGCCATTTCGTTAGGCCACTAACAAGGGCCACCATGCAGATAAAGATAGATGTATTTGAGTTGTGTCAAATACATTTTGAAGGTAATATTTAAAATTTAAAAAAAAAAAAAAAAAAAAAAAAAAAAAGAAAAAAAAAAAAAGAAAAGAAAAGAAAAAGGAAACTGTACAATCTGGCCTACAAAAGGCAAAAACAAGCAGCTAGAGCTGCTGAAAACAAGAAAACAGATTGCAAACTAGGACTACCTATATAGCAACCAACATGAAATCATTTGATACAAAGCAGCAGATTCTGCAACAAAGAATGCAAGATTAGTCGGGAGGCTTCCTTGGAGGTCTGATAACTGAGCTAGGTAGGCACTAGGCTCCACCTAGCAGCTGTGGCTCAGACTATGTTACATGGACTTGGGTATGTACCCATGCATCGGACGTGTCAAATCTCTTAATGAAAAGACACATAGATAATGCTAAATATTTTTATTGTTTAATATTTTTATTTTATGTTTTAAAGTAAAATAATGTCTTTTATGTAATGCAATGTTCAATATAGGCAATTCACTCATTTTGAAAGCAATAAAATAATAATATTGAATTATTGGACATATTATTAGGTGCATGTCCAACCTAAAGTGTCACGCATATCCCATGCCCATGTCCGAGCAATGTGTGTTGGATATGGGTACTTTAATTACTTTTGAAGAGTCCATGTAACATAGGGCTCAGGAAGCTTTGCTTTCTCCTAGAGCAGAGGAGCTGAGTCTGAGCTAATGAAGTCAGTGATGGATTAAATCAAGGCTTGGGGGCATTTTGATGTATTCCTGAAGATTCTGCTGATTCTCTCACCCCAGATTGCATAAACTGAGGCAGCAAGAACTAGTTTCTGAGAGAGAAAGCTAGAAGAGTTGTGGCAATTGGAAGAGGTCCATTGAATGAGGGTCTTCTAGTTTGAGAAAGGGGTCTAGAAATCACAAAGGAGCTGAAAATGGTTCCAAATTGGGCTTCAAAATTAGCAAAGAAAGAAAAGATGAGAGTGACTTTCCAAGGCAGAGAGGCATAGGGGGCTAGCATTGGGGATGCTAAGTGAAGAGATGGAAGGGCTATCCAGAGTGGCTAGCTTTTCTTGAACTGCAATCCACAAAATAAAATTATGCTTAAGAATACGAGGATTAAACATTCTAGACAACACCAAGGATTGAACCACACTACATGGTGCTAGGATCACGTAGAACCCTCAAGCTCACAGTTTTCAATAGGCTCCAAGTTCAATAAAAGGCGCGCCTTGTATTTTTAATCATTTATTCAAATCATTTACTTCCTCTGTCCCAAAAAGAATGTCCGTTTTGGGGAGTAGAAATTTTTAAGGGGACATGTGGGCCATGTATTGTCTCCCTAGAAAGTTACTAACTTGCCCTTTAAGTTTTGAATATTCAAGTTTGAAATTTTAAACTCCAAGGACATATATGGAAAGATGTAAAATATATTGTTTGAAAAAGGAAAGTGAACATTTATTTTGGGACAGCCCAAAAAGGAAAGATTGACATTTTTTTTGGGACAGAGGGAGTACTTTTTTATTTAATGACCACTAAACTAAAATATTTTTATGATATATCATAAAGTTTTACCTTATGAAGTATTTGACAAATTTCATAAATTTATGGTTCATTACATACATTAATTGTCGTTAGTGCTTGATTTTGGATTTATATAACAACATATGTTTAAACATGCATTATTATTACACACGCGCCTTACTTCGATCAAGCTCGCACCCTATACTGCGCCTTGAGCCTTTAACAACTATGGTTGGTCGGGTAGACGTTCTGGTGTGGAGAGTACCTAGTTTGACCCAATTGTCAAACCAAACAAGAAGTTTTCTGGCCTATTTTGTCCCAAGATGTGATGAACTTATTTATCTTCTGTTATGATTCATTCTGCACAATTGGCAAATCAATTGAATCACTAGTTATGAAAGCTAACAAACTAACAGTTGATGTAACCTTAAAATATCCAATTCAAGGTTCATATTCTTAGTTTATTTGACAATATTGTGAAGAAAACTCACCTTCTCTTTCACAAGCACCTCAGACGAAGCATCAGGTGGAACTGATGGCCAAACTGCTGGTTTAGGCCACGGCAGCATGCTCAGTGAAGCACTGCTCAAAAGAAAGAGAAGACATTTAAAACCCAGATAGAAATATAACTGAAGTGCCAATATGAAAGGAAGTCTTTGGTAATTCCAATTTTCAGAAAAAATAATAATAATAAAATTCTTTAGCAATTCTGTCCCGATTTCTTTCAATAATGCAACTAAGCAATTTCTTTCAGAATACTATAACAAAACCCAAAATTCAAATAAGGACAGAATCTGAAAGCAAAAGGTTGAGTTTGTACCTATTAACAGGACTTCTTTCTATATCTGATCCATAACCAATTAAATATGCAAGCCTCATGAACTGCCCACATCCATTAATACATTTCAATAAACAATAGCTTAATTAGCAAACTTGTAAAAAAGAAAAGTAGAACTCAATGCATGCTAATTCTTCTTTTATAAGAACAGTGCATGGTAATTGTAGCAGTAGTTACTATGTAATGCTGCAGCAATGTAACTAGACTAATGTCCTCCAGTCAGAAAATCATCAATGGTAGAGCCATTATCTTCTTCAAATTCCACTGAGTCGAACCAACAGATTTTAATTACTTCTATTCGCCTAAGTTATATTATGCACCCTTGCCTATTAAGATATCAGAGAGGACCATATATGGAGTTTCCAGATGTATTTATGAAACACACAGAAGTTTACCTTAATCCGGCATAGTGAATAAAGATCCCCCTGAAGGCGGTAAAACTCTTTTTCTATATCAGGTGCCACTAATCCATCACTATAATGAGAAGCAGTTGCATCGATTAAAGACAAGCAGGCAGTTATTACCCAAACTTCACGCATACTGAAGGGTAATACATTCTGGAAAAAGTCCCAAGAAAGAATTAAAAGAACTGATAATAAATACTCTTTCAATGGAAGCTTTACACAAAATAGTAGTACTGGAGTAAGTGGATATTAAACAGAATATGGAATACCTCGTGAAGAGCCAATGACTTTGAAAAGCCAATTATAAACGCGTAACCCCTTGATGCAACCTCAAATGGACGATTCAGCTTGAACAAAAGCTGCAAAGTTAAGATACAGTACTGAGACAGAGTTCAAATACCGCAATATAAGAATCCCTATGACGTGTGGGAAATATACAAAATGTATCTAGTTTCATCGAATATAAGAAGCTAGTGTAAGAAACAAAACTTAGGGAAAATAAGGCGCCAATGAATATGAACATATCAATATTGCATCCATTGTACTAATTAAGAGAGAGGAATTCTTGAGGCCTTGCCAGTAAAATGTTTTTATTCAACAAAGCAATTTTTGACACACACAAGGGTTGTACTTCAAGAACTAAACAAATTTTATGATTAATGAGCCTCTCTCTCTCTCTCTCTTTCTCACACACACACACACACAGACATACATGTCCATGTGGCTTGTAAAATTTTAATATATAACATCATGGAAAGAGGAACAAAAGGATTTAATACCATCATCATTGCCTTTATCTCATATGAATGGGGTCAGCCACATGATTCTCTTTTTCCATTCTTTTCTGTTACAAGCCATTTCTCCTATTATATTCAATTTTTTTAAGATCATTTCTAATTACTTCATCCCACATGAGTTTCAGTTGGCCTCTTTGTCTCTTACCTTCTGTGCATATAAATTTACCCGTCTAGACGGTGCATCCATGGGTATCTATTGTCTTTGGACAAAAATATTGAAATATAAATCATTAAATAAATCTTAACAAATATATTTTCTAAGACAGTTATGACATGCTTTTTTTCCCAAGCTATTAAATATTTTCATAACCATCTTCATAGTTATTATTATCATCTTTATCCTTTAGCTAGTTAACTAAGTACCATTCAAGAAAATGTCATGATTGCCTCAAGAACCATGAATTAAATACTTAGTGCCTTGGGACTGCTGCTGCTGAAGCTTTTTTGGCTTGCTTCCAGAGCCATGTACGGCAAGTTCATTCAAATATTTACTTGAAACATCTAGAGAGTGGCCAAACACAGTTTCTCTTCTCCATCTTTGGTATTTAGAAAATTGGAAATATTATTTTTGCTTTTAAATCAGTTGGCAAAGACACCTTAAAGGATTATTTTTTAAATTTACTAATTGATAGAAAATATGTATCAATAATATGTAAACGCACCAGTGTTACAACTTAAAATGAATATGTTAAAATAGTAACCTTTATGCAACGGTGTCATCAGGCCTTAGAGCCAATATCATTACAGGCCAATGTATCAATCCCGTTGAATTTTATCAAACATCATCTTTTATTATCGCTGTTAAGTTCCTACATTTTTGCACTAGTTATGGATGAACTAATTAGACGTATTTAGGATGAGGGTCTAATGCATTTGTTATTTGATAAAATCAATCAAACTAAAGTTTTAAAATTGCTAAATTAGAGGCTTAGTGAGATAATCATTAGTGTTTAAGATAAGTGGGGATAAAATTGAATATATGAAAGGTAAATTTAACAAAACTCAGAAAACAAAAAAAGGTGTAGTGAAGATAGGAACTTTACAGATACCCAAGAATGAACATATTCAATTAATCCTAGTGATGAGAATTTGGAGATGATGTTACTGGTGCAACTAAAGCAAGCTAAGTTAAGTGTGATCACCATGTATGTTAAAAGTAGAAGGAAATTTTTATTAAACAGTCAATAGACTAATCATACTTAGGACAGAATGTTCGGCAATTAAGAAAAAACCAATTCATAACATGACCATGAACAAAATTTGAATATTGAGATAAAAGCGTGTAGGAAAAGTCCCACGTCATCAAAAAAAAAAAGCGTGCTAGGACAAGAAAGGATAACATTAGAATGCAATACATTTGTGAGATGATATAAGCAGCAACAATTAAACATGAGATAAGAGAAAGTTGACAAACATTGTTTAGCAATGTGTGATGAATACAGAGAACTACACAAATGAAAAAGTGTGATATGATCCACATTAAAGGTAATGCTACATAAGGGGAAGATTAAAATCAAGATGAGGTGAGATAGCAATGAAAGACATGATAGGCATTTCGGTTCAAGTATGGCTATGGTCCTAAATATAGAAATAATTTATCGTTTGCTATATGCTAAGTACATTCTCAATCGAGTTCAATCAATGCACCTTGACAGCCAAATAACTGACCAAACTAATACTTCACATCCGTGTAGAATGAAAAACTTATTATGAAAAAGACATTCACACAAAAAAGGAGCACACATGATTAAAGCAAAGGGATGTGTCAGTTTATGTGAAATAAGAAAGCTAATTGGCTTATCTACAACCAACCTAAGGTTAATCACTATTTCTCAGTCTTGCACACCTTTGCTTGACAGGCAAACAGATACTGTCTGAATTCAAATTCCCTAAATGAATCATCTTGAACAATCTGTGTTAATGGTTTGTTTCCAGAGACAAGTGCTGCCTGATCATCACCACGATCCATTCCTCCAAAGTCCCTCTGTTTCCCATTCATATTATTAACTGTATTACATGGGGGAGAAAGAAAAAACAAAACAAAACAAAACAAGAAAGAGAAAAGGTTAACAATTTACAAGTAGTATGATATTTAAGAAGCCTAGGTCCTGATATCATCAATGAAAACATAATAAAGCATTTAAATATATACCTAAAGATGACCACCACAACTGAGGAAACAAAATATAAATAACAATGGTACATTGAGTTGAAGCATGAAATAGCACGAGAACAAATGGAGTTAAACAAGAGAATTCACACTGCTTTGAAATTATTACAAGAGACAACATTGAGCTCCCATCTTCTTGAATAAATAAATGAGTAAATAACTAAATAATCAGGCATAACATGAAAGGTCCAATTATTTTGTTTGTCACTGACACAGAAAACATGGAATATAAATGTAGTGTCATCCTAGTAAAATTTAAAAAATAGAAATAAGGGAATTGCTAGGATTGTCGGTCGGGATAGTCCCAGAGAGTATTTGCATGATCTTGACTCACTCGTAAATGCGAGATTGAAGAGGAAATTGCCCAGATTAAACAAGTTCTATGAAGCATATGATGACCGGGTAGTTGTGTGGTCGACACATTCCAATTCAATTATAGGGGAAATGTAACAAGAAAAAAGTCCCAACAAAACTAAATCAGCCTTAATTTATGGAACTAAATGATGGGTATGTTGAACAAAACAGAAAAAATAATCTTTCATGAGTACTGCTTGACAGTAAAGAAGCAACAAGTTCATGAGCATGCAAGAGAAGAACAAGGCCGTGGTAATTGATTCCAGGATGAGAAAATTCACAGATGGTTTCATCATCTAATCAGGAACAATGACTACACCAGTAAAGAGCCATAAGGTTCTGATTAAAGGCAACATTAGTTAAAGGAGAAGTCAAACAGGGCATAGGTAATGGTGAAACATATAGAACACAAGTCGTTAGGAATTACGGCCCTTATAGCACAACAAAATAAGTAAATTCAAATACCGGAGCTAACATTGAGTTGTTAAAATGACATTTCATTTAAGATGATTGGTACGTAAATCTTCCAGATAGCATCTCACCACCCAATCATTAAGAGAAAATGACCTCCCAGTTGCTACAATTTTCCTACAATGCAACAATTTATCACGCTCAAGCCAAATGTTCTTGGAAAATTATTCATTCTCAAGGGAAAAAAATTTAGGACAAGAATCAATAAAATGGAACAAATTTATATTGTCAAATTCCCATGAAACATCAAGTAATAACAGCTGAAGAGTCAACCCTTTGATATGTTAACTGAAGGTAATTTTTAATGGTGGCTTATAAAAAATCAATTGAGCTAATAAAATTATATTAGTATATTAAAAACAAAAACTAGTAGCCTAATGATTACTTCAATAAATGATATATTGGATTATTCCTCCTGGGCCCCTTATTGATGAACCTTTTCCCACATAATTACTTTCCAAAGCTTATATCCGTCTTTTCAAATGACAGAGAAATGACCAACGTTGTTATCTTCATATTTAGTCATTAAGGATTTTCTTCCCCTTAAGAGAACTACCATTAGTCATATGCATAAAAGACATACAGGCTAAGACCAGTCAAATTTCTAGAGACACCATCAATAGTTGACAGGTAAATGATACCTATTACATTTCAGAAGCAACTGGAATTCGAAACATAATTAGAATAACCATAATATACATTGACGGCAGAAAGAGATGAAACATAAACATTAAGCACCTGTTTCCGAATAGCAGAGTTCCAATTCGTCATATTCACGTAATGAATCTTCATGAAGATGAGCCATCTCAAACATGAAAGCCAAGCTTTCCTATAAATAAAGAAAAAAGCACTAGATAACTCGGAATATTCTAGAAAGAAAATACTCTGAATAAGAATGTTATGTAATTATGAGCACATGGCCGAGAGGACACAAGTTAATGTTAGTTGGCCACCACCTATGTTCAATGGGAGGCATATTCTTTCTTTTCTGTAGAAAACTTCTACAGATGTGCTATATAATTCAACTAAGTTTTACATAAGTAGGGAGCATGAAAATAAAAAATACTCAAGTAAGATATCTCCTTACAGCCAAGCGGCCCGACATTACAATCTCTTAGTCACTATAAGGATAGTTTTACCCCTGCAACTACCTTTAAAATGAAAAAGTTGCAAAAGTTCCAAATGGGCATGAAGCGCTGTTCGCTGAGCTTGCGAATCTCATCCTCATAAAACTGAATACGCCTGTCAAGTGTGTTCCTGATGCATTCCACTATTTTGGATTCCAAGTCATCCCAGAAATTTGCTTCAAGTCCATGTATATCAAATTTGCAGCACCTGAGTGAAAAAAATAATAATAATAAATAAATAAATAAATAATATTTAGACCATCAGGGAGAACAAGAGGCTTTTGTAAGTACTCCTTGCATTTTACTACATTCGAAAATAAATATGCCTTCTGTTATTTTTATATTTCCCTTCAGTTTATCAAAATCTTTTAAAATCACCCTTGACCTTAACCTTATGAAATCGTGTTAGTCAAAATATGATGCTTTTTGTACCAATCGTGGGCCAAAATCTTTTAGATGACTCAAACACAACACTGTTGAGATTCAGATCCAGGCCAAAGAGCCATTTCAATTTGAAAGGAATCTAGGCAGAACGAGGATCTAGCAGAAATGCAATGAAATAGAAAGGGGTAATTACACCGGAAAGGAAAAGAAGAATAAGATAAAGATGATTATGATGATGATGATGATGATTGAAAGGACAATAACCATGAAGTGATGAAAATCAAGTTTTTGAAAATTGATTACCTTTTAAAATAATCCTCAACGTAACTTAGTGACACTTACAATTTCCTATTTTTCTCTTAAAAAATTTAAATGATGACACTCAGATCTTAATGAAGATAGCTATTCTGAATTTCACAGGGGAAAAAGAAAAAGATAATTGTTCTGAAAGGAAGAGTATCTAGTGGATATATGACACGTGAACTAGATTATTCAAAAATTAAACTCAATCTATAATTAAGAAAAACAAAAGAAGACATATAATTAGCAGCAGCAGGCTTACCTTTCCCTCTTCTTTGAACTAAAATCAACTTCAAGTTTTGCATATACTTTTTTGGCCAGCTTGGTGGCCTGATCATTGTGGGGTTGAGCTTTAGACACAAATACAATAAACCATTCCCGTTCATCATTTTGAACAATCAATTTCAGCCGTGGTTTAAGGATGGTCTTGAACTCATCAAGATCCTATGCAAGAGAGAGAGAAAATAATTATGGAGTCGAAAAATAAAAAAGACACAAAATAAAATGGAAAGGGAAAATAATTGCCACACATCTATCATTCAGTAGTAGATGGTATCGAACAAAATTGATTAGGTAATGTGTCCTAAAATATGGCCTTCGGTCAAAGAAGATTCAACCACAACAAATAATTTTTTGGAGGCATATTTGATTAATTTTTTAGCAGTTCAAGTCAAATTGGGGGTTTGTGATAATGGCACAGTTTTTGTATTTTTTCAAGTTTTATGTAGAGAATTTGAGTTATTTATGCATTATAATACGTAGGAAGACTTTTATGCAGTTCTATTACTTCTACTTGTTTTTAGTTTTTCTAGTTTTCTTTATCCTTTTATCGCAAGAATTCTGAAACCCATTAATAGGCTTCAGAAGTGTAAGATGGGATAGATTCCAAGCTAAGAAGCACAAACACTTCTGAAGATCAGCCACATCCATATTAGACACATGTTAGATACCAACTCCCTAAAGACACTCTTGGACGTGTATGATACATATTGGGCGTGCCCATAATTTAATAGAATTTTTAATTCTAGATGTCAATATGTGATTTTGGACCCTTGACGTCATATGTGACTTTCTTTAAGTATGAATTTTTTTTTTTCCTTAGTTGGAACTTACACACACGTGCCTCCACTGAGGCTCGAACCCTTGACCTCCCTTTGGGAAGTAGGGATTTGGTACCGCTAAACCACTGGTGTGCTGGAAGTATGAAAAAATATATATAATTGTAAGAAAATATTACATCTACAAAAATTTTGATAATTTTTTAAAAGACAATAGAATAAAGTTTCTTCATATTTAAAAAACAAAAGTAACATATAGAAACGTTCATTCGAAGGATGAGGTGTTTTTGGACCCTTTTTTTTAATGCATTTCCATACTCCAAAGTATCACCCATAGGATAAGTTCTCCAATGTTGTCCAATCCTTGATTAATTTCACCGCATTTCAAGGTCACCACTCATCTTCATGTCACGCTCAACTGCAAATCTCCACTTCTAAAATTCCCCTACTTTGTTAACAACCAAGTTGCCAAATTTGGGAGAAAACAATACGCAACTCAACAGTCTCAACCAGGTGGTGTTTGAACCCACCTACATGCCTTTCCCAAAAAAAAATAATAATAATAAAAAATCTATGGTTCAGCTAGATTTAAAAGGGTTTTAAGAAGAAGGCATTTTGTGATTTATGTTGTGCGGTTTTGGACCAATAGGGAACCATGCACGTCGAGTTCAGGTTAATTTTGTGACTGTAGGAATATCTGGACTAGCCATAATAATTATTTCAATAGAAAAGCAATGAAGTTTTTTATTGTAAAGAAGCTCTCAGAAATTCTTAAGATTCAAGCGGATTACACCGTTACAAGGTGTATAGAACAAAAATAAATTAAATGCTCCTTAATTAACACAACACTAGCACCTAAAAGCCACTGAGAATGTGATAATTAAGACAAACTGGTAAAGTAAAGAGATTGCCAGCTACCTCACAAGTAACAAGAACCACGGTTGCATATGGTTCTCGAAACCAAAATAATGATTGCTCCTGAGGAAACCGACTACGAAGTCTCGAATCTGTCGTTAATATGAACTCGGCAGTGAGTTTCTCCACAAACACGGGATTACGGGTCTTGTTATTCAAACAAGCGACTTTGAATGGCAACTGCTCTTCAAACCCCTTCTTGACAACAGGCCACAAATCACTCACATCTTCAACTGTAAAACAAATCATGCTGAAATTATGGAACAAAAAACAAGATCCATGATAGCATAAACAATGCTCGGGGAAAACAAAAGATAATTTTCTTTTGTGTGTGTGAGGAGCAAAAACTTCAAGTTACTCCCTACAGCTCCATTTAGTTTATGGACTTAGTAAAGGGAAGGGAAACTTTCCCTCATGCTTAAATAACTTTAAAAGGTAAAAATTCTAAAAATGGTTAGAATGAGAAAAGGAAAATGGCATGTAAAAATACTTCTTCATTTCCTTCCATCATATTTTCTTCTCTCCCTATGGTAATCAAACAAGGAAAATGATTTCTTATACATTGTGCTGTTCATTTCCCTCAATGAAACATGAGCCAAACGAGCTTAAACTAACCATACTTATCAGAATACTAATAGTAGGAAATAAGAGTTTCCTCCCAAATATATATACATATACATATATATATATATATATATAAAGGAAAGATAAAAAAAAAAAAAAAAAAGAGATCATACATGTGATGTGAGCACAAGTTGGAAACTATTAGAAATCATAACAACAGTTTGATTCATCGCTCCTTGAAAAGTGGAGAAACGACAGAAAGAGGCACAATATGAGCCATCTTTCAAAGCATAAAACAATTCTACCACTAAGAATTACATTTGACTGCATCAAGAATTGTCTGCCATGACCAAAAAGATGCATTCATCCAAATGTTAACTGTAAGTCAGTAAAGACCAGTCCCAAACAACATGACCACGGACATGGGAACTGGTTCAATCACAAATACAAGGCATTCAACAAGGTGAATTAAACACAACTCAAAGCTCACTTGTGATTGTCATTAGTTGGAAACAACATTGTACGAAAGGTTTCCATTCAAATAGGACCAAATCAAGGAAGATGATGATGATCATAATGATGTTGGAAACAACAAAACATACTACATTTCCGAGTTTGTGTGTATAACAAAGTTCATACCACCAGACACTAGAGTAAGAAACAATGATGATCTATACATTTTTACTAAAATCAACTTCATATACTGATATGAATCTATTCTTAATTGAAAGCTATTTAAGGACTCTCTTACTATTTGTATGAACGATACTGCACTAAGAAGATAATTCTTTATAGGCACTCTTAAAGTGAATAGATAGAGCATTTGATTTGATTTGAATTTTGAGTCCAAATCTGACAGTAAACGTCATAAATCAACATATAATTTCACGATCACACACATGATCCAAAAACAAAGAGAAAGACCGTTTCAATGGAAATCTCAAAAAATAAGATCTGTTGGATACAATTGAAAATCGAAATTCAAATGCGAAATCAAAAATTGAAATGGAAATTAGGGTAAATGAGATGAGAATTTACCTGCTATAACGAGATGATCACATGAGTTCTTTATAGACTGAAACTGCGCTAAGAAATTCGCCATCACCGATCAAGCGAAACCATATGCTGATTTGCGAAGTGCGGATCGATTAGTACAGACCCAAACAACAAAACAAAGCAAGTAGTTATTAGAACAGTTGAAGTGTAAACCTAGAGAGAGAGGAAGACGGGGAAGAGAGAGGGAGTGAGTTTTTAACTGTGCTGGTTCATTTACAGCACGGCATCATCGACATGGCAGATTGCTTCCGCCGATGTTAGGAATTGAGATTTACGTTTCGATGATTTGGTACAGCGTGTTCCATCTCGATAAGTGGGGTATCTCATCAGAGCCGTTCGATCACTCAATCAAACTAAAAGGAAGTGTTTGTCTGCGAGGTTGTGCTATCCACACCACGGACAGAGTGTGTGTTTTCATCATATTCTTACTTCAATTTTTTTTTTTTTTTTTTTTAATTATTTTTTTTTTCAATCTCCCAATTCTTTTAATCTTTTAGTATACCCTATTAAATTAATTGTTATGACCATATAATCGAATGATTCAAGTAATATTTTAAATAACTTGGCAATACATTTAGGTTTGGAAAAATGCCACAATTAGGTCACATTCTTTTTAAGAGACATGAATTCTTGTATTACCTTAAGATTGAGATAAGATGCCTTCTATTTTTGTCTTTATTTACACAAATTATGATATTCATCTTTATTCAAATTAATTAATAAGGAGAGAGTTTATAAATGTTGTCAATAAAGCAGCCTCTTAATTATAAAATATTTGTATTTTGTGAATCAATTACATGGTTATATTTTTCATTGGGCATTGACTTGATGTTATTGTATGTTGATATTTGTTTGTTTGGTTGTAAAAAATACAAATTATTAAAATATAATTATATTTTTTGGTGTTTGTTGTCTTAAAATATTAAAGAAGAAATAAATATTAAAATTTAATAAAAATAAATTTTAATATACTTCACCCGATAAACTCTACCTATACCTTTACCAAAATAAATTAATTAATTAATTAATTAAATATATTTTATTTGAAAAAATAAAATATTTTTTCGAGAAAGATATTTTTACATTAAGGCTCCATTTGTTTTAACGTAAAATATTCATTTTGGAAAAAAAAATTTCAAGTAAAATATTATTTTATTTTTACTTTGTCGGTGTTTGGCAAAGGTTTGCGTCGAGGTTGAGGTCGAGTCCATCGGACAGGGCATGTAAAATAACTTGCCGAAATTTGATAGATAAATTATTTTGTTAAATTTTATTTATTTTTTTCTTCGTAAATATTTTATGACAACTAAACACTAAACAATAAAAAAAATATTTTACGTCCAAACAAACGGAACCTTGATTATAATTTATTTTACCAATATGTTAGACATATTGAATCATTTAGAACCTGTAGGCCAATTTTTGCGTTTCTGATTTTGTTTTCAAAAACAAAAACTATTGCGTAGTGTATTTAATAGTGATTGAAAACATATTTGGTAACGTAAAATGTTGTTGCAAGAATTTTGAAAGCAAAACATATGAAAACTGTTAGGAATATTAACTCCCACCAATCCACTCAATGAAAGCATAAGGTGGCATTCTGCAGGACCCCAATTTAAAAGGGTCGATTGTTGTTGAGAGTTAACTCACTCATGCACACAGAAGTATCATCATCACACTAACCAACAAGAATATATGAAAATAACAATCAAATACATCCGCCCATAACACAATATTTTACATGATTTACCCAAACTCTAGTGCTACGTCCATATTTTATTATTATAAATTAAGGAAGAGAATATACAACCAGATATTAAAGTCTCACTCATTCACTCATTATTTCTTTTGAGGCTACATCTTTACACTAGAATTACATATACCCTCTCATTTCCTCACAACACTCTCCTTTAAACCCTTTACATATTTATTCTCTTTTATCTTCCCTCACACCAATCTCTATTTACAAATCATTTAAATATAATTATTTATTAGACAATAATTACATAACTTTCTTACAAAGAGTTACCATTTCAATTATTATTTGAAGCTAACTACTAAAGATGAACAATTCCAAAAGGAGATGAACAGGTCTATTGGGTCACTCATCTTCGCAACACACCCTAAGTGAACAGATCCATAATAATTTGAACATGTCCATCTTATGCACATTAATTCAAGCTGCAAGTCCAACAACAAAAACATGTTTGGTAAAAAAAAAAAAATTGCAACTTGCAAGTTTAAAAAATAAAATAACTAGATAAAGACGTCACTTAGAGTATTTATTTATCGGACATTGGGCATAGCTATAGTGCAAAAACATTAAAAAAAAACACCAATTTAGAGTTTTTAATTTTAGACTTTTTTTCGAAAATAAATAAAACACTATTCAAATTGAAACATAAGTTATCAAATACGAATCGGTATTTTGTTATTACAATACATCGGTAGCAAAGAAAAAAAGAAAGGAAAATAAAAAGAGAGAGATATAAAAGCAGTTGCCAAACCCTTAGGTAGATGTTTTTCAAGTGGGATTTAAGGATATGCAGTGATTTGATGTTTTGATGTCTCGTGGTACTTGTTTTGTTTGATGCAGCATTGACTCCAGGGGACAAACCCACGGGATTATATTTATTGCAAAGGTGTCTCGTGCACCAAGAGAGAAAAATAAAAAATCAAATAAGATTTGTTTTAGTTATAGCCCCTCTATTCAGACCCAATAATTCACTTTCAAGTTGGAATCATTTCATAATGTTGTTACACGTTTTCTTTTTCCACATTGGTAATACTTGTTGGCCTCCATTCACAATGTTCTTAAACGCGTTTCAATTCTTTCAACGGTATTGTGTCGGTATTGAATATGGGATGCTAACAGATTTGAAATATAATTACAAGTATCTTAAAATTTAAATTTCTATTTTTTAGTTGGAGTCAATTGAGGTAAATATAAGTTTGAAATACTTCCAAAACGTGGCGAGCTAATTTTGTATTTAATTTTTTTAAAATAATGTAATTCCAATGTATTTTTCAATTATCTTATGAATTAATTAAACAATATTATAAAATTAAAAAAACAAAACAAAACAAAAGCAACAAACATCAAATTCTAATGTTCAAATTAGTGATTCATTCAAGATAGTTTGAATAAAATGAGCAAAATGTGTTTTGTATATATAATAATATATATTATATTACAATTTTGTAAAACATCAATACTGACGTTTATGTGTCCTTAAATTTATTATATAATCATGTTCATATTGTGTTAGATCTGTGTCATGTGTTTGCTTCCATGCTTCCTGAGGCATGGCTCACCAATGACCTCAATTTCCATGTGACAAGAATGTAGTTTCATTTTCTCCTTCTTTCCTGTTATTACAAAGGGAGACTTGTCTCACATTGAATCCGAATATGAAGTGACATGAGTATAAATGGATGAGTATACAGCATTATTCAACAGTTTGAACTTTTGAATAAATGACCACCTAACCGTTACATCTGTCATTCACATCACATTCTTATGAAAAGACCAAAGGAGCAACCTGTTGAAATGAAAACTAAAGCACAAAAATTAAACCTTATAAGACTATAAAGGTAATATGGATTATTAATACCATTTATATATAATAATTCCAAGATAATAACTAATACGTTTATGGATCATCAACACCATTTTTTTTTTAACACCCTTTTACAACATTGCAAATGAATATAGACTGTTTTCGAATAGCTCAGCCCAACCCATTAATTTTACGAATATTTATGTTAAAAGAAGGTTGATTAGAAATTCTTTACCCAAGGAAGGAGAATAATTTATTAGAAATTCAATGTTAAGATCATTAAAACTAAAAATTCTTCAAAACACATATGTGCAGTGAAATTCTCAAGGAATGGGTTTTAGTAAAAAGTCACTTATACTGGTACCTCATAAAATATTAAGACTAAGATTTAATTTTTTTTTAGTACAAACAATTTCTTAAGGTCACACACGAGTGAAAGAACGAATTTTTTATAATCCATATGGAAGGAGCGCTTTACACGGTGCTGGGGATTTAGTGGGAGCAAATCTCAAGATAATCAGTTATCTTTAAAAAAAAATAAATAAAATTGGGCAGTCAAGAAATCCAGAATAGTAGCAATGAAGTGGCTTATGATTTCATCTAATTATTGACTTGCAATGTATGATGAACAAAACACAAACTTAAAAAATAACCAATTTCATTTATAAATGATGTACAAACAAATTTGGAACCACTGCTTAATTTACAAAATCTCTCTTTGCAATTGTAGAATATTGGTAAATCGACTAAAATACTTAAGCCGTGGACATGGTCGAGAGGCGGCTAGGCGTTGGCCGGAAGTCCCACCACCGCCGGGTCGGCTGACGGATTGGTGGTGTCAAAGCCCTCTTCACAACCTCTTTGCCGGCGTAACGCCTTCTCAACCTACCGGTAGGCGGCACCACGTGACGGATACTCTGAACCACCCTTGAATTATGGGACGATGAGCGTCTGTACATGTTAAGAGGCCTAGGAGACGCCACACTACCGTTCTGGCAACCCCGACTCGTGCCGGTCCTGTCTCCGGCCATCGATGACGCCCTTGTCAGAAGCTGGAGCTTCTCATAGGCTTGTTTATTAGGGATTCTTTGCATTGTTAGCTGAAGAAGGTACGAGTTTGTAAAGCTTCGTGAGCTAGAGATGAAATGGTCAATGGTGATGGGGTTATTGAGACTAGTTAGCATATGTGTTGCTTTATATATATAGATATATATGTGTATATATATGTATACACTGACACATGCATAGTTTGACTTTGTCTTTCTGGAAAGACTACATTACAAATTCAGAAAGGTTGGGCTCATACGTATTTGACTAATATACACGGACTAGGAAGAGGTATGTTCGAGACTCGTCGAATGTTAGGTGATAAGCCGCTAACTATGACTCGGACATATGTGGTACTAATCCATCTTCATTTTGGGGGCGTTCAAAGCCATTTTTTCTTCCACGGACAATTTCTAATATGTTATCTTGTTATTTACCTAAAAAATTAAATTGAAGTGAAAGTATAAGTAATTTTTAATTAATATATCAATTAAGGTTAAGGGACGTAATTAATTTGATTTATTTTTTTATTTTTATTTTTTATTTTATCATATTGTGTTCAGGTCCGTCCCTCTCAAAAAATATTCTTTGATTCGCAGCAGATAAAAATGCCAAAATAGATGACATGGTAATATATATCCTACTAATAAAGTAATAAATAAACATTGAAAAAAAAAAAAAAAACAATTAAAGTATCCAACATATAGAGTTTTTTTGAAACTTTGGAAGACTAAAACTTGTGGGACTTAATAAAATTCTTCTTAGTGTAATTTAAAATAATTCAAAATCTTATATTCTTAATTATTTTGTCTCCGGAATTTAAATTTAATTACTATAAATTTTTCTTTCAAATTTGAAAGCAATTGCATCAAAGTTAGGTGAATACTATAAATAATTAAATATTAAATCATCTAATTTTAAATATAGGAATAATTCCATAAAAATGAAAATTTGAAGATAAAAGGCTAAAAAGATTGAGCCAAACTTTTGAGGACATAGAAATTTATTGTGAAATGACCCAACTACCCATTCAATTAATGTACCCTCTCTCTCTCTCTCCCCCTTTCTCTCTCTGAGTGTCTTCATATCTCTTTATCAGAGCCCAAGAGATATTTGTCTATCACTTTAGGTGCACACCGGGCATTGCTGCTATTTCATGAATCTTGGTACCGCGGCCAGAAGTTGAAGCTGTAGAAGTTGGTTCATGCGATTGACATGAGAAGACCGCATAGAAGTTCCATCCATTACTACACTACCTATGTAAAGAAATACAGAAATAAACTGTCTTGCAATTCTTTCCACTCTTTCAAAATATCAGATCAAATGTAAAAGTAAATTGCATCTTTGATTGATTCAATTTCAGATGAAATTGATTTACCTTTATAGGTAAATTACATCATTCTGTATTTGTTTGAAAGAATAACATAAAGGTAAATTCCATCATTGTTTGCTTCAATTTCAGATCAAATGGATTCTCATCACAGTGGCACTGACCATCACAAAAATCATGCTATTGGCTGTCATTCTTTGAAAGAGTGGAAAAAATCCATTTGATCTGAAATTGAATCAAACAATGATCTGAAAGAATAAATTGTTTTGCCTCACTGGATTTTGTGTGTCGGAGCCTGAACTCACCTTGGCATTGTGACTTCTCCGCCGATTTTTCTCTTCTTCGGCTATGTCAATGGGAGGCAAGAGCCGTCAATCCCTAAAGTGATAAAGAGAGATGAAGAGGGAGAGAGTGCAGATCAATTGAATGGGTAATTAGGTTATTTCGTAACAAATTTCCATGTCCAAGTTTGCTCATAAAATTTTATTTATTTGAAAAACTGAAGTTTGACTCCATTTTTTGACCTTTTACCTACAAAACTCTATTTTTTTAGAATTATCCCTCAAATATATTGTACATAAACAACGCATAACTTAAAAATTATAAAAAAATATCTACTTTTTTTTATATTTCGGAATCTTAAATTGCTCGGATTAGTAAAACATTTACCCAAATCCCGTCCCAAATAAGTTTGGGTTCTAAATTTTAAACTCAGTCTTAATCTCATAGTCCAAAGCACCTTGCTCAAGGCCGTAAAACTTTTGGGCCTAACCATAGCGGTGGTAAGTGTGCGGATTGAATTGGGTTTGAATCGGGTTAAATATAAGTTATGATTCATATCCAATCCATTTATAATGGATCAAATACCGGTTCAGTCAAAATGGATTGGGTCATGTTTTTTTGCCGGCCCAATCTAACCATGAAAGGGTAGTAGAAGTGAAGAAGCAGCTTGTTCAAATTCAGTATGGGCAATACTTCTTCCTCTAACAATTAATCAAAACATACTTTGGTGCACTCAACTTAGTTTAAAATTACGTTATAAATCTTATTTTTGTTATTAAGAGTTTATGACATGTCACGATTTTTTCACATGTAACACTAAATTGTAAGATAAATTTAATGATTTATTACTATTTAAAAAAAATTAAAAAAACTATTTCAACTTAATTCAGTGGTTGAATAAAAAAAATTCAGGGGTCTTGTCATTACTCATTTTCAGTTAAATTGTTTAGCATGTCTTGTGGCTTTTGGTGGGTGTCAATAATATAGTTGCATTAATCAAGTAGAGTCCCATACTTTCAAAGTGACATATCTCTCATAATTAATTATTCAACTTCTTAATTGTTTCTCACTGTTTTCTAAAAGGAGTATTGAAAGCGAGGCGGGTTGATTGGTTTTAATGAGAAGCATCTCATATAGAGAAGATATCCAATGTCTTCAGTGCATTGTATATTACATATATTATACGTAGGGATAGTTATACGTAGGGATAGTTATAGATCGGATTGGATTAGGCATTATTCGATTTAGGCCATTACCGATCTGTTAATTCACGGATCAGATCGGGTTAAGTTCGTGTAATAACGGATCGAATCGAATTAAATTCACGGATTTGATTTTATCTAAATTATCCATTATTATTATTATTATTATTTTTATAATTAATATTATTTATTATTCATTTATCTTTAAACACTAACCAGATAAAATTTTAATTTATTAATATTAATTCATATATTTAAATAATTATTGACTAATACATTCTTAGAGTATATTAAATTATTAGTAACTAATTAAATTAACGAATATATTCTTTGAAAAAATATATATAAATTTTACGAATCGGATCAGATTTTTAATAACCCAATCAGTGAGTTACAAATTAATTTTTTCGGAACCTACCACCGATTTGTAAGTATAGCAATCAGATCCAATCTGCACGAATCGGATTCGCAGATTCACGAATTATTTACCCACCCCTATTCTTTCGTGTTATACATGACCGAACAAATGTACAACATGCACCTGCACATATAATGACAATGTACCAAACACATCCTATTTATTGTCCTTCATATGACACTCTCTCAATCGCGCGTGTAAATTGAGAGGCTTAAGGGAGAATCAAACATCATACATATGACCTTTTTTATATCTAAAATAAATAGCATGTGATTGCAGTCCACTTAATTTTTAATTAATTAAATGACATAATTTACTTCTTATAAATGTATGTTTTGTTTTCCTATCCCAGTGGCTACATTTTACTACTCAGGGATATCTATTCCAGAAGTTGCTAAGGCTCTGTTGCTCAAAGAAGCTCTTATCCTCTTGTCAAGATGGGAATATCGTCCTTTTGTGGTTGAGGGAGATTGTTCCAATGTAATCACTCTTTTGTCTTCTTGACTTCTATCCGTCTTGGTTTTGGAAGAGATCAAACTCCTTAGATCTTCCATTCCAAATGCTTTTTTTTGTCTGGACTTCTCGCTCATGCAATGTTGTTGCTCACCAACTGAGCGAATGGATCTTGTCCCATAAATGTTTTGATCTCCACTGATTTGTTTGGCCTCCTTGACTTCGTGAAGCCATCGAGACGGTTCAACAAAAAAAAAACATTATGAAGTGTGAGACCCTGAGTGTGCTTTTAAAGGGTGATTGTGCCATTTCTTGATTATTATATACTTTTTTAAAGAAACATATTGGCAGCAAAAATGCATGTGGAGTGAGAATATCATTTATATTTTTAGTATATTGACAAATTAATTAAAATCTCAGAAAAATTAATAGAATAACAGTCTCATATGTATAGACTGTACACTGTACAGTGAAAGATTACACATAATAAGAAAATGACGATACTTCCCTTCACACCAAACTCATTTTATGGGCTTGGAAAGAGTGTATTATAAAGAATAAAACAATCGGCCCATATTATATAATAGAAATAGATGCACAAAACAATTTTTTTTTTTTGTTTTTCCCTCACGAAACAATTTCAAATGGGCATTTTTTATTTACTTAGAAAAATAATGTATCTTAAATTAGAAAATTTAATCTTATAATGAAAGACTCACATTTATTATAAGACATCTTTGTACACGAGACCTAAGCATACACATATATAGCCAGCCCTCACAGGGTGGGAGTCAGAGCATGAGCCGGGCCAAAAAGTTGCAAAATTTAAAATTTAATTATGGTACTATGTGTGTGTGTGTGTGTGTGTGTGTGTATTATGTGCATGAATATAATACTTCCAATATTTGTACACATGATAAATGTCATTACTTTGTGCAATAATAAAATTTAAACCCCATAATTAAACATGAGAAAATATGTTTGAGACATGAGTAGTGCGTTATTTTTCTATGTTATATAGGAGGTACATAATGTTTACATATACATTATTCATGTATTCATGAAGACTTTTATAGTATATATATATATATATATATATATATATATGCATAAAATTGATGGAGAAGGTTCTAGCTTCCACCACAAGGAAACAGGTGATGGTGCAATATTTCATCGTTTTGATATGTATCTATACCTAAAATTAATCAATAATGATGCTAATATAATAAAGTTATTTTGTACACTTTCCCGGGAAAGGAATGCAATTAGGCATCTTAATTTTGTGTGGCTTGGAGATAATGATTCCATTTGATGACAGAGGCCGGGATGGTCCAAAACCTAAAGTGAGAGGTAGCCTCTTGTTGTCAACATGCGTGACTTCTGGGGTCATGGAATATACTTAGCCATGTCTTATCACGCCATCAAAGAAAATGACATCCACAACAATATATCAAAATATCAGAACAAAATTTGGAGTTGAAAACAAGAAAAATCATAGATAATTAAAGTCAAGGTAATGGTTGGATGAGAAATGAAAAGGAATAAATTAAATAAATAATATTATTTATGAAGGCATGTGGTTTATGAATGTAAAAAACGTAATAAACTAAATAAAATAAAAGGTGCATAAAGGACTGTTTGGTCTCCTTCAAGAGAGATGTAAAAAAGCTTGAATTGATTGCATATGACTATATATGTGCGCGCGCGCGCATGAAAAAAGAATAAGAAAATCTTGAGGCTCCTTTCAACCCTAAGCCCATTAGCGAGAGAGTGTGTGGTTGTAGCTAGTTTATTAATTAGTACTCAATTCATGTCAAGCTCAAACCAGTTTCTATTCAATTGTCAATTAAGTGCCGAACAATTTTCTAGCTTATACACTTAATTCAAATATTCCATTCCGATCATTATCTACTTTCTAGTTTTATGGATGGCTATAAATTTAGTTGTCTACCAATATATATATGTATACTAATTGAAGGAAAGAAAATTGGTTTTGTGTTTCTTTTTTTGGTTTCAGGAAAGAGATATAGTGATATATTCAATTATCTCACAACATGATAACAAAAGAGTACTGCGTATTTAATTGGAGCCAGAGATAGATAACCAAAAGTGAACAACGTACTAAATACTCTCTAAACACAATTATATTGCATTATATGTTGTAATTAACCTGTAGAATACATTCATATATTCATTAGAAATGAAGTTGAACATATGCTTACATTTGCAAATTTAACCCATCATAGGAGTGCCAGTAATTAATTGGTTAATTACAACAATCCTAATGATTCTTGTCTTTTATCATATTATTTTATTTGAAAATCGAAATGTTTAGCCGATGTAAAAAACTAATTTAATTAACTACCACAGATATATATCTGATTTTGTCATATTACTTTAACCAACAATATCTCAAATTGACTGAGAAATTTTTTACAACAATCTTCAAGATTATGTTTTGCAAATTATGGAAGCTTTGGTTTGGCTGTGATTAAACTTTGTTGAAATATTGACTATAATAATTTAAGAAATAACTATTCAAATTGCAGGTTACAGACTAGGCAGGATAGAAAGATGAAAAATTATATATATATATATATATATTATATATAATTCAAAGATGTAAAACCATTCTTACCATCTAGGGTTTTTACAGCGACAACGAAAAGCTGCTCATAAATTTATTAAAGAAAGCAAAACCAGGACCAGCTTTGTTGTCTTCAAGTTACAAGTATGATCAAATAACAAAGATTGAAGTTATTGGCAATTTGGCATGAAGTCTAATGATAAAAAATTATTGAACAAATTTCGAAAAAATAAATAAAAATTATTGAACAAAGTAAACCAACCATTACCCATAGACAGTGTTCTGAGAATTTTTGAGCAGTAAATCAATAAATACAATCTCCGCAAGGTTTAAGTGTTGCATTCCATAACAAAATATTATATTCATCATCTTATTTTTGTACATATATCAAGAGAGGCAAATCATGCCACTCACAAATTAGTCACCGATGTGAGATCCTGTAGTTTTGTTTTCTTAAAAATTGTGGATCTTCCACTCTATCCATATATATATATATATATATAATAAAAAAAAACAACCAAAAATATATTTTAAAATTTACTAAACAAAGTCTTAATACCCAATTCAACAATCTAACAACTAATGAATTGTGTATTGAAGAGTATATATATATATATATATATATATATATGTTATTTATATATATATATAAATAACATTTGCTACCTAATGACACCCACCTCTAGAACTTAATTCAAGTGTACCAATTAAGGCCAGGAATTTGGAATGACAGAGAGCTTTGTTGATATGTTTGTGGGTGAAACAAAGGGATGTTTGGAAACTGGCTTAGCAGAGTGGCAAAAGAATTGCTGTCATCGGTCCTCGCCGCGATGCTGCTTCCATCACTACTATCTTCATGGAATCTCTTTGTCAATGAAGAACCAACCATACCTTCCTCACTCCAGTACTGAGAGGGAACCGCCCTCTTAAGGGATTGAGCGTTCAAAGTCGCGATAACCGGAGGTAGTTCCGGCTTTGAATTTGGCAGCAACAATTGAGATTCAGACCTCAAATCATGATCTTGATCTCTTATCATCCCTTCAAAAAAGTTGTGTCCATTTTGGAGCAGTGCACTATAATTTGAGCCCTTCAGTACATCAACTTTAGGAGTAGTCTGTACTTGGCCAGCTGATACTGAAGATGGTATTGTCATTGATCCAAGCATGGTACTCACTGAGTAGTCATCCATGTCATGATCTATAGGTCTTTGGGTATTGTTCTTTTTGTAGATTCGGCACAACACCCAATCATCAAGCTACATAAATACAAAACGTACAATCAAATTATTTATATACGAATACTGCTACTCTAGCCGATAATTCAGAACTAAAACACTAACAGAATTAAGGACTCCCTAAATTTGAAAGGTCTGAATAATCGGCTCAAATATCATTTTTCATTTTAATATAATAGAGATTAAATTAGAACAAGAACAATTAATTAGTTACCCTTAAGGAACCTTTCTTGTTGCCAAAGTCGCAGCCCGGAGGTTTTGAGTTGCCTTTGTTATCGGTGAGCCGATACTCGTGCATGATCCAACTGGTTTTGATTCCTTTAGGAGGCTTGCCTCCATAGAAAACAAGGGCCTTCTTGACACCCACCTTCTGAGTCCCGCCGGAGCTCAGTACAGGCTTGTCTGTTCCGGTAGCCTTCCAATACCCTGAGGTCGCGGCCCGGTTAGGCCTTGCCCCGTTCGGATACTTCCGGTCCCTCGGGCTGAAAAAGTACCATTCTTGTTCCCCAAAAGTAGCTTTTGCTGAAAATTAAAAAGACAAAACTATTTGACAGAGTCTATGACTTTAAATAGAGCGAAATGAAAATATAAGATTTATGTAGCCGATGATTCCAACTGTTGTTGTGTTGTATGATTGTATTGCTACCTGGGAGTTCCCATGGATCGAACTTGTAGAGATCGACTTCGGCAATTATGGGGACAGGGAGAGGATTGGAGGCAGCCTTTTTCTTGAGGTAGTGAACCACCAGTTCTTCATCGGTAGGGTGGAACCGGAATCCCGGCGGAAGTTGCGGCTGCGAGGTTGTCGATGAGTCGGTGCTCTCCATGAACCCTCACACACACCTGGTGGTGGTGATCAGCGTAAACACCGGTCGTCTGGATTGAATATGTGAAGCAGGTCGGAGAAGAGAAAGAAATAACATAGAGAGTGTTTAAATAATGTTGGCGAGAGGTGGTAAGCACATCTTTTATAGGGTGGAGCGAAATGTGGACTGTTGAAACTCATGGTGGACTCACAGAATTCAGAGTAGAAAAACATGACACACATATGGTGTCCGTTTGTGCCGTTTATTTCCACATAAAATGAAATATATTGCATTTATTAAAAATTATCATATATATATATATATATATATATATATAAATTTCGTTCATGTGTAGAGTTATTATTAACTTGGCCTTAGCTTTGACACATTTTTTGCAATGCGTTTTTATACACAGGATGATTTTTTTTTTTTTTTTTTTTTTATAATTGTTTCTCACATGGTATGTCACAATATGGTATCAAATTCAATCTTCAATTTGGGATTAAGTATGTGTATAAGTCCGATCAGATTAATGAGGATGTTGAATTTTAAGATCGATGATTTATGATTGCGACATCTTATGTCACCTTCGTAAACACGTAAACGATCGTGACAGGAACCATAAACCCTAAATAATAAGTAATTGTAAAGAATTTAATTAATCACTAAACAGTTATTTTTAATAAGTCCAGTGGAACCCACCGCAATGCATTGCACGGGTGCATTTACATCTACCACCAAGTCCATTTTATAATAGTAAAGTTGCTTTCTATAGGATTCGAAAATCTTTTATTCTGAGTAAATAAATTGCAAATAAAATTTTATATAGATGGGTTAATAAATAAATATGTTATGTAAAGATAAATAAAAAAAATATTAACAAGATAAGAAACACGTGCTGTAAAAAATGGGTAATGTAAATTTTTTAATATATATTAAAATTGTCCACGTGTTACTAGTCGTGGTTGGTAGACCTATCAATTTCGTCTATTTCATCCATCTAGAAGTTGAAAAGGGCTTTTGAATGGTGAAGCATTAGTATATAAGACTTATTACACTGTTATTAACCCTACGGTTTATTGCAAAATCTGTAAAAACTGTCCACGTGAGCATCGTGAGATGTTATAATTAGTGGAGGTGATTGGCAGCTGCTGATGACGTATTAAGCCGTTAATGGTTCGAAACGTGTTGTTCCTAATTGTGGGTTTGGTCGACACGTGGTGGAGAAGCTGGTGGGGACCACCATCGCACACAAAAAGCAACAAAAAAAAGGATTCAGCCAATTGTATTCATCGTGGGATATCATTGATAAATAGGAATTCATGTTATCAAAGGATTTCCTGCAATTATTTCTAGTATGGAATGAGTTAATCATCCACTTTGGTATCTTATTGAACAAAAATGGTGATATTCTTCCTCCATTGATCAAGAATTTCGATAAGATATATATTTGGATATTTCTCTTCAACTCCGCAATATTGTATTAGTTATCTGACATGAATAGTTGAAGGGAATTCCCTGACGAGAAAATGGATTATGGGAGTGTGTGACTTGAACTATTGATTTCGTCTGTACAGATATATGCCTTTATCTATTTGCCACATTGGAATTCATAACCAAATGTGTCTTTGTTCCAACAGCCGTGTAAGCCCCGTATAGAGGATAGGCTGGTTCTCTTGAAGAGAATCTTTTTCTATGATCAGGTCCAACTCATGTCGTATATGAGTAGAAAAAAGAACTAAGGGGCGAATTCTTTTATTGAATCCGTCGGGACTGACGGGGCTCGAACCCGCAGCTTCTGCCTTGACAGGGCGGTGCTCAAACCAATTGAACTACAATCCCAGGAAAATAGGGGATATAGCAGAAAATGCGATTTTTTTTTTATTCTTCCGTATCAAATATTTCTGAGGAGGGGGAATTGATGGACGACGGATAAGTGTGGGGTGGGGGAACTCATGGCTTTTGTTGCGCAAACAAATACTACCACAAATTAATGTACTCTTTAACACCATGTTTGGAAGAAAAAGAATATGAAAATAAAGGATAAAGCGAATAGAGAGTTTATAATTGTTTATTTTCAAGTTCTTTTATATGGGGAGAATGGAAAATGGGTGGAAAAGCAGTCCCTTTAGCTTTATTACTTTTTCCCCAAAAATAAAAAGAAAATGAGGGAAAAGAAAATGTAAAGAAAGAAGAAATTGGGCCGGAGGAAAAAAAACAAAAGTACTATATATCGATGATGATTTTGACGACAACTATGATTCTTTCTTTGTATCACACATTAATTAAATAACAACATGGTACTAAACTTTAAAAAATTATTAAATAGTATTGGACCATTTGACATATTTGATGGACTAATCTAATAGAAATTGAAATTGAATTAATACACTCTCTTGTGAGAATATTTTTTTAATCTTAGATTGAATTAGTTCACCAAATGTCAATAGTTCAGGACCATCTAATTAATTCTCATAAACTAGATGCATTCTTAATTATGTATTAGTATGTAATTAGTGCATAATACTATGTCATCTAGAACATTTCAGTTTTTCTCTTCAAATTGATTCATTATTTTTTCATTCATGTTAATGGATGAATAATTTGTTTGCTTTTATTTTTCTATTTTTCTTCTCCTTTTTAACTTTCAAGAAGAGAAACTACTCAATAATTATAATGCCTAGTTGGTTCAATTTTTTAAAAACAATTTTGGAGAACTCGTAAAATATAAAATTATTATCATAAAAATTATAAAAGACAATTCTTTGAAAATCCAAAGGGCAATCTTTGACCACATCTCCCACCTACTTGGTACAAATAATGGTAGGTTTGGGATACATGTGCATGATAGATAAAGGGGGCATGTGTAAAAAACACCCCTTTATTTTCCAAAAGTTACAAATAACACCCTTATTGTTCAAAATTGACCCCTCTAATTTCAAAATGTTGCAAATAAGGGCTTCTAACCAACAAATTTGCCACGTGCGGTCCATGTGAGCAAAAGTTGGGCTTTAATACCAAAAATACCCTTTTGCACTACCCAAAATGCCCAAAGGGGATATTTGCACACTTTTGAAAGTACAGTGGGGGTTTTTGTAAATAATTAACAAAATTTTGAAATTTTTGTTATTCTCTCCTCTCTAACGGCTCTTTCTCTCTAAATAATTAATTTTGTTATTTTGTTATTTGTATTAATTAATTTTCTTTCTATAAATAATCTATATATAATACTGAGGAGGCCCCGGACGACATGGGCCGGATCCGACTTGTAAGCACTACATTCGGTCCGTACAGCTGGGTCGGCCCATATAAAGACACTGCCATATGGGCCGAACGCGAGTAAGCCCATCAAAGGTGACCAGGACTTATGGAGGAATAGGCCCAGATCCAGCAATCAGTCAATATCTTGTAAATATCTTGTAAATATCTATAAATAGGATAAGGAATGGAAAGGAGAGAGGATCTTTTTGGGTTGAAGTGTAAGAATTCTAGAGAGAGAAAGGGGGAACGAATTTCTTGCATCTTCAATTGGCGCCGTCTGTGGGAATCGAATGGAAGTTTGGTTGATCAATGAGGAATATCGAGTGGATTCAAACCAATTCGGTTGATCGAGACTCGATCTTTGGGATTTGGATCCAGATCTGAGCGATTGTGACCTACTCTGGAGGAATTACAATTCTTGAAGCTTTGGCAGGAGAGGCTTCAGATCTACGCAACAACGAGTTGTTCGATTGTGGCAGGATCTGACGGACTTAGAGTTCAGACAATTCAGATCTCGTAAACAGTGAGCATAATTCGGAGAATTAGAAGCCAGATCTAAAAATTCCTACTCACGAAGCTCGGATCTACTCGCGAACTTGAGATTAATGCCTTTACTCCGTTCAGGAATAATGATAGGTGAAAGCTCCAATCCGATGGAGGCTGTCCAGCAAACAAAGCTTGAGGAGTTGATGAACTTGATTGAAGCTCTCAAAAAAGAGAATGTAGAATTGAAAGCTGGAATGCAACATCGGCAAATACCTGCGGTTTCGCATCCACTTCCGGTCGGAGAAGGAGGTGTTCAATCTAATATCGCGCGTCAAGGCGAACAGGACGAGAACAATCAGTCAGCTCACCACCGTGATGAAAGGATGATGGACAATTTGCCGCCAAATGTTCGTCGAGTTGAAGATCACGAAGGATCGACTCACGTTGATCCGCATCGGGAAAGGTTCGACCGAGAGGAAGTGATAGAGGTTGATCGCCATCGAGTAGCGTCGCCTTGGCAAAGAGAGTTCATAGAGGAACGGTCGTTCGATCCGTCTTACCGGCCCTCCATGGTTACTATCACTCATCGCGGTTCGGAGGGCAGAACCGTAACTCACAGAGCTACCGCTGGACTCCAGAGAGAGAATGAAGCTCTCCGATCCGCAGCTCGGACGGTGGATTCACCATTCACCGACGAGATCTTGAATGCCCCGCATCCAAGGAAGTTTGCTATGCCAGTCTTTATTCTGTTCGACGGAACGACCGATCCGATCGATCATGTGTATCATATCCAGTTGAAAATGGCCCTGAATACGGAAAACGACTCTTTAATGTGCAAATGTTTCCCTACAAGCCTAGCCGGACCGGCGCTCAGCTGGTTCAAAAATTTGCCTAGGAGCTCCATTGGTAGCTTCAGAAACCTGTGCGATCGGTTCATAAGCCAGTACTATGGGAACAAGCGCCCGCCGAAAGACATCTCGAGCCTATTCACGATGAGGCAGCACAAGGATGAACGTCTCCAGGCTTTTCTTACCAGGTTTAATCTCACTAAGAGTATGGTGATCGAATGCCACCCTTCTACAGCAGTTCAAGCCTTCAAGTTAGCCATGACACGTGGAACTCCGTTTCACACCAGTCTGGTAGTGAACACGCCAACTACTATGGATGAACTCAATGAAAGAGCCGATGGCTTTGTGCGCCTAGAAGAAGAGGAGGTAGCTAATGCTCGGACAGCGTCGCTCGTGTCGACCGAGGAAAAGTCCAAGGCAAAGATTAGGCAGAAGCAGGCTCAGCCGCAACGTCAGACCTCTTGGAAGGCAGAAAAAAGGTCCAGGGAGGAAGAGCTGATTACTCCGTTGAAGGTCACTCTGGCGAGGTTGTATCAGGAGAACAAAGATAAGTTTCATCCACCACTGCCAATTAGGCAACCCCTCGAACAGAGGGATCAAACTAAACATTGTGCTTTCCATTCTGAC